GGATAACATTGGTCATGAAGTCGAATGCTGGTGCTCAAGTGAGCTAGCGGTAGTGTGGCCGGAGAAGTGCTGGAATGTGGCCACGTGACACAGAATGCTCCAACTTGGAAGGAAGAGGAGGTTCAAAACTAGCTTGGCGATGACTGGGCGCTGAGCGCGCGCCCCATGGTACTGAGAACGCTGCCGACCGCTCATCGTATTCGTTCGCAAAGTACACAGGATACACACAGATCAGATTGTTCCGCTTGAGCTACGTTCTCCCGGCGTCCCGCCTTGAAGAGCTAGTGTACGAGACGGTGAGCGCTGATGAGCGTCAAGAGCAACCTAAGATGGAGTAGTCGCGCAACCCGGTCATTCGGACCGCGGCCCTTGACGCGGCCCTGTGACTTGCGCGTCTCGGCGCTAAATAAGCGCCGTCCACTGGCTACAGGTAACAAATGGTGCGAGTGTTCTTGAAGATGTCTCAAGTGGATGCATAAGGTAGAAATGCATCTCACTCCGAAAGGCTAGGATATCCTGTTCTGCAATTGCCCGCTCGTGCGCTAAGCTAACCCACAACTCTCTAAGCGGGGCCGGCGCCGGAACGGGTCTACGAGCGCCTTCTCACGCGAGCGGGAGCCGCCACAGACCGACAGATGTCGCGAGCTTGGATTATCGCGGGGTATGCGCAGAAGTATAAGTACAGGCATCGTTCAGTTCGTCGGGAGCTTCAAACACGTCACCCTTAGTCCGTCTCCCGACCACTTCGCCACCTCGAGCAGCAACTCACGCTTCTTGTCAGCTGCAACCGCGCTACGTAACTCGTATAGCGTCGCTGTACAACAAGTGAACTGTGAGCAGAGCTTCTATCGGAATCAAGGAGCACATACACAAGTTGAACAAGAACGGCTCGGCCATGGCCAAGCTACCAGGGCTCTTCTTCAGCGCGCGCTCGAGAACTTCGATCCCGGCCTTGATCTTCCCCTGCGCGAGGAGCGCCACAGCCAGATCATTGACGGCAGCAAAGTTCTCCTCTTCTTTACCTTCAGCATCGACGCTGACTTGGAGAACAATCGAAGCGAGTAGCTCCTCTGCTTTGGCCCACTCGCCCCTGGCGCACGCGAGTAACGCCTGAGCCATAACCTTGCTGCTTTCGGGTGCGCCTTCGACCTCTGCTGCACGTGAGAACTCCTTCTCCGCCTCGCCGAGTAGGCCGGCTTGCAAGTACACTCTTGCAAGAGCTGCCCTCAGCTCCCAGCCGACTTCGCGTGGTAGTGTCTTATCAGCTCCAGCAGTGTCGAAATCGGGTTGCTGCAAGAGCGGCTGTATGAGGGAGATGGCGGATGCGTAGTCTTTGGACTCGACGGCGCGGCTGGCGGCTATGAGTGCGACCCGCGCTCCGCGTTCGCGCCACATTGTTCGGTCGGCGGCGTGCCGGGCGCGGCGACCCTAGAAGGATTTGTCAAGGTTAGCCGATGTCAAGACAGCCTCGTGATACGAAACAGGCCCGGGGTGGGGGACGAAAGGGGGTTAAATTACCTGCGTGCGACAGCGTTTGAGGAGGACGCCCAAAGCATCGGCGTATTCGGGCGCTGATCCGGCCCAGTACGCCGTGCGTGCGAAGAGCACCTAGCCGAATATCAGAGTCAGCATACATGCGAGTGACAGATGCAGAATATGATATTACCTGCAACTCGAAGGGCACGATGCGATCTAGCGTGGACTGCGGGACAGAGACCAGTACATTCTGGAGGTTCGCCGCCTCGGATGTCGTCTGGTTGAACAGCCTCAGGCGCGCGAGCGACGACAGGCGCAGATACCACAGCTGATATCAACGACCAGTATCAGCATCGACGTTCTGCGGAGAGACGAATCGTAGTGCCACTGACGTTGAACACACGATCAAGGTCCTCTGGGTCCGTCTGGACAAGCCTGTCGCGGGCAAGCCGAGCGATCGCGCGCCAACTGTTCGTCATCTACAACAGAACAGGTGCTCTCAGAATACAATCCACGGACCCGAACTCGCCCGATATCGATACGTACCACGAGTGTATGGAAATCCGCGCGCGAGTAATCGCCGCTGATATCGCGCGGAGGCCTACGCCGCTCGTCCGCGATGTACTTCGTGAGCAGCGTGCTCAAAGGATCGGTCTATGGAATTTATTCGTCACATTCGCGTTCACAAAGTTCGTATCGGACATGAGAAGATGAAAGAAGCCAGTCATCGCATTCGTACACAGAGCATCCAAGAAAGTTGCGGGAATAAGCGAGAGGAGATAAAGTAAGGTTGGAATGAGGGTTCTTGGTTTTCAGATCGAGTGGGGGTTTAATCTACGTGCGGGGAATAGACACGGGCGGTGGACTGGTACCACCAGGTGAGATGATGACAGAGGCGTACATTCGGGATCGGAAGGAACATCGTCGGTAAGACGAGTTGAGGCAGGTAGACAGCGGGCACTTCAGGCTCATCCTCCTCGCTCGACTCGCTGGCTGGTGCCGGCGCTGGCGGTGGAGGCACAGGCTTGTCAACGTTCAGACTCGGTTCAGGCTTTACTTCAGGGGTGACCGATAATGGCGGCGTCGAGATCTCGACCTCGTGGGAGGGCGTGATGTCGCGCGAGTCGGTCGCCGGCGTCGGTGCCAGCGCAGCTATAGGTGCAGGCGTGATGGGCTCGGGATCCTCCGGGTCATCGACGAGGAAGGGGTCCAGGGCCTCTACCTCCTGCTCCTGCAAGCTTGGGCTCTGGTGCAGATCACCGGGCGGAACCGATGGCGTGTTGACATCTTCGATGGCGGAAAAGGACATGTAGTTGCTTGACACGTATGTGGCTGTGCTCGCCGTCCGTGCGCGCTTCTTGAGTTTCCTAGGAATATGCGGCGGCTTCTCGGAGCAGTCGGGCGCAGGGGAGTTGTGCGAAGCAGGAGATGGCGGTAGCGGGAAGAGGAGCCTGCCCAAGCTCACGACGCGCTGCCGTACTCTGATATCCTTCCGGTCCGGTGTTCCGGGGACCTTAGTTCGCGCCACTTGCAGCTCGGCGCAGTCGCTGCTCGAGGACGTTGAAGTCGTCAGGCTGCGTGGGTGCGCAACGTGCAGCGCGTCATCGCTGCTGTCGCTGGCGGTGCTCTCCGGGTATACCGCGCTGGCGGTCCGACGGGGGTGCGAGAGGCGCGTAGAGACGCGGCGTAGTCCGGTCTTGACCCGAGACTTCAACGACGACTTCTCCTTCTCTACCTCTTTCGGCATCTCCATGGCTGGTCGCCGGGCGGTTTGGGTGAGTGGATGGTGGTGGTTGGTAGTGAAGGACCGCGAGAAGAAATTCGCTTCGCGGCGGAAGGGTTGATTTATTGAAACGTTCAGCGAAACAAGACGCGCCCTTTTGAGTGCGCCGAAATTAGGGATTGATGCAACTCCGGCCTCGTTGTCGAGTTGCTTCCGAATCAATCGATCCCTCTCGACCTCCGCCTCGGCTTGCTGCATCGCCCACAGACTTGATTCGGACTGACGCCACCCCCGCGCCCCCCGACATTGCCCGTACTCTCCTGTCAATTAAGCCGGGACTGGACTCGAGCTCGAGCGCATCTGGTACTATCGCGCAGACAAAGACCATCCCAGATCATCGATAACCCGGGTCTCGCGGTACGACTTCGCACTGATGCACGCTGTACAGGCGTGCCATACTTTTTCTACTCGGACTTCGCTTGCGCCGCGAGGCCTTACTCGGCCCTGCTCTATAGCGACGGCTGCCACAATGTTTCTGATAAGCCTGTCCTATCCATACGATCCTCCTCTGCATGTATCGGCCGTACGTCGCTCTGGTTCGGGAGGAGCGATCCGTCTATCTGCATCTACCGAGCTCGCATCTGCTCGCATCGCTCGGCATCCGGGAAGACGCAGATACGCCGCGACCGCCGCCCCGCCGCCCCCGCATTCCACATAGGGGCCGCAAATCAGGAACAAGAGTCAGGAGAACTCGAGAAGCCGTTGTCTTCGGATGGCGCTATCGGCATCAGTGGGCACCGGTGGGCGTCTATCTAGACGTGTGGCTGTGGACTTCGCGATTCTCTATGCTCGGATGGGGCGGCAGAGCGCAGAATGAGGCTCGCATCTATACTGGCTGACAGGCCTGTGGCGGTGGCCACGGCGGCACTTCGCTTTGGCGTCGGATTACGCTTGCACCGAAATTCGACATGGACGCATGACTGGAACTTTCCCAGTGCCTCCCAAACATTATCGATGTATTGATGTCTATATCCTTGTTGTCGATTGCAATCAAAGAGCTCCCCTCCCGAACTAAATATGTCAGTCTGCGAAACATGTAATACATGGGTTCTCAATGTCCTTTGCTTGGACAATTTACACAGCTAGAGTAGAAGATGATTGCTATCGATAAAAAACATCGATAGTCTATTGGCAAGGTCCTGCCAGGACTCGAACCTGGGTTAGCGGAACATTCGAGTCAGAATCCGCTGTGATAACCACTACACTACAGGACCGATCACCATAACAGCTCAATTAAGAATATGTCGTCGTAAGGCGACGTCCTCCAAGGGCTGGCTGTCATCCGACGCTTAGCCTGCCTCCCACCACCAGCCCTATCGACTGCACACCATGCGTTACGGCGCTCTTCTTGCGTACAATGTGGACCGTTGAATATAGACTCGACCTGTCCACCTCGCCGTGTACAACTACATTGCTCAGTCTTGTTGCCGTGCGCTTGATTGGCTCCGAGCATAAGCATGTTCTACTGTCCCTATAAACATTGCGAGTGTATGATTGTGAACTTGAGAACCGCTGCTCGAGCACTGCTTTGTTGCACGGTCGTGGAGCTGCATCAAACCAGCACGCGCTTAGAGCGTGAGCGCAGCGAAGCGGCTGATGCACGTCGCCACGACGAGCACAGCGCTCCGCGATCCGAGCGGCGGTATATAACCCTCGACAAAGCATGATGGATCCCCAGCTGTGCTCGCCCCTCCAGGTACTGGTTACCTTTCGTCTTCTTCGTCCCGCCGCTTTTTGTCTCGTTACGAACCTCGCCCCAATCGCTGGTCGATTGTAACGATACACGCTCACTCTCGCATACACTTCACGAACCCACCAAACCTAAAGATCAACCCCGTCAACATCTGCAACATGCGCACTTTCTCCGCATCGCTTGTTCTTGCCGCTCTCGTCGCAGGCCCGGCTATCGCTGCCCCGCTCACGTCTCGCAACGTGAACGTCAATCAGGATGGTCCCCACTTCATCCTACCGCGCTCGCAGGGCTTGCAGTCGTCGCAGTCCTCTCAGCCTCTGCAATCTGCGTCGGCCTCGCCAGAGCCATCGATTGAGCTGCCGCTCAACTTCCAGCCAATCGGCCCTGCAGTTACGGTGTCGAAGCGCGAACCTGTACAGCCTGTCTCGTTCATACCTGTTGGCGCCGCTCTCGATGGCACGAACTCGGCTCCGCCTGCGGACACAGCCCCCGCAGACACAGCTGTAGAGACCGCATCTGCATCTGTGTCTGCGCCCGCTTCAACGTCGACCGGAACCCCCGTGGGCACGCGTCCCGTCTCGTTCATTCCCGTAGGCGCCGCACTCGGCGGCAACACGAAGCGCGAGCCTGTTCAGAGCCCACCCATCGTCTCCCCCGGCACCTTCGGCGGTGTCCCCCCTGCGTCATCCTCTGCAACCGAGTCTGCCCCAGCCACCTCGCAGTCCGCGTCCACAGGCGTGCGCCCGGTCTCGTTCATCCCGGTGAATGCCCTTCAAGGCGAGGCCGCGTCTAAGCGCGCCAGCACTATCCATTCGGTCTCGTTCATCCCGGAGGGAGCGCTCGAGGGCAATGCGAAGCGCATCGTCGATCCCATCAAGCCGCTTCCCGTCAACTCGCCCATAGACTACGCTGGTGCCCAGAAGCGCGAGCCCGTGCACCCCGTCTCCTTCATCCCGGTTTCGGCTTTGACTGGCGCGCAGAGGAAGGCCAGGCGCCAGGAGGCTTCTACTATCCCGCCCGCCGGCTCTGCACCTGGCACTGTCCCTGCGACTGTCACCTACTCCGCTGGCCAGTCGGACGGCCCGATGATGTGCATCTTCAGAGAGGACGGCTCTGTCGTCGCCATGCCCGCTGCGAGCGGCACGGTCTAATTCCCTGGCCATACTCCTTTTGTGACGATCTTTCGAAGTGTTTTGTCTTTCTTGCGGTTATGACCCCTACTTTCTACGGATTGGATGTACTTTAGTTTAGCTTTTATCTGGAGGAGTCGATCACGCCAAATCTCATATGTGTGAAGACTGCGAAGTCGTTCCAGTCAAGTAAGCGAGTGAAAGTCTTACAAAGTGAGAGACAATGGACTGGGGACGGGACATTTCCCACGTGTTTACTAGAACAATGATTGCCGCCCCCCAACCGCCCCGATGGGCGCGTCGGGGCGCACGATGAGCGTGCCCTTGCCCATAACCATCACCCCCCTCCCCCGAATCCCTCCGGTTCTTTTCTCCGTGTCGCCTCGCTTGCACGCGCTGGAGCGCATCTCGTGGTCATCCGCCGTTCGCATTGTCAGACCACATCAGCGGGCACCGGCAATTTCCGGCCGCGTGGTTGGTGCGTGATGGCGCCCATTGTTCGAAAGACTCGGGTGTGGTGCGGCCTGTGGCCGACGTTTTGCCCGATTCCAGATTCATTTTGCGTGTGATTAGCGCTTCAAAGCGCTGGATGGTGGGGGAGAAGAGCCGGGAAGAGTATGCCTCGATGGGAGGCTCGTCGGCGCGTTGTGAAATTGCAAAGCTGGCATCTGGCGTCCGGTTCGCACCGGGCGCTTGACGATGTGTGGGCAGGTCGCAGGAAAAGTCTTTCACGAATGAAGATATGCCTAGGAGATCCTTGCGACGAGAATTATCTGGTGCAGCGGAAGGTTGAAGCAGAGGATGGAAACTACGTTGGACACTGGACGGGAGGTTGGCTGACTGGAACGCCGGAAATGATACCGGCGGCTGTGTTGAATCTATCGAGTGTGAGGTAGACGTTGGCACTGGCGCGGCGACCCACGTAGAACGCTTTCAAGTCTGAGGATGCCCATGCATCGTAGACTGGAGCGTGCTATAGTTTTGTATCGATCGTTGCCGGTGCCGCGTCCCTCAACTCGTCCTTCCGACTGCATGATGGACGGACAATGTTGCTGTTGTTTTGGACGGAAGACAAGGGAACCGACGTACCAGTGATGCAAGGAAGGGCGGAAGACTGACGGGAAACGGTTGCCCCAGAGTTAAGACACTGAATGTACCTCTGTAGACCTCAACCGTAAACCTCGCCACCTTGCGAGGGTTGCGTAAAAGTGTCCATGCCTGCCAAAAAACACGGATTTGCCTGACAATGTCGATTTGGAGGACGGCGGCATCGGCGCTAACGGCCTAGTCCATGCGCTCAACATGTCAAGCCACTACGGGATACGAATTCCCCATGCTGCGATGCTTCTCGGTGCTGGTAACAGTCGAATCTCACTTTCCTGTACCGAAGAACGGACTACTTCATCGTTGATCGCCAACGCACCATCCTGCCTAACCTGCCTATCTTCGTCCTCGACGATCGACTCTGGCTATCGTCGTAGAGGGACGTATTGGCAACGAAGGTCTTCGGAACGTGAGGCAGATACACGTCGTGTCCATCTACCAAGATGCCACCGCCGCCACCGCCGCCGCCGATCTCCACCGGTTGCAGAACGATAGCTGGACGCGCTGAGGGGTAATTGTGGGACTCTGCGGGCGCACTTATCCGCTGGCAAGAAGAAACGACCATCCCCGGTTCGTGCGGGTAGTGGGCTGATCAGAAAACCAATTGAATTCCATCTATAATGCGAGTGGAAGAGAAGAGATAAGTCAGTGCAAATGACATGACAACGCGATGTCGGCCAGTGAGTCCACGCGCTATTGCTCCAGCATGAACGCTCAGATTTTTCGTGGTTGGTCTAGGCGGCTCCGATCTAGCCCTTGCGATGAGGGATTGCTCTAGAAGCTGAGACGTACTCAAGCATGGGGCGTCGTCCGAGGGGGCGGGAACCCCGCTCACGTCGTTGCAAGCGGTGCTAATGGTGCAAGAGGTCACGTACCTTCAGCCTCCCCCCTCTTTTTCTGATATCTATTTTCACTTACAATATCCCTAGACGTGGATGAAGGCCATACACGCTAGAGGAGTGGACAGTTTTTCTAGATAGGCCGCTACGCGCGAGTCGTTACTCGTTGCCTCTGCGATACGATGAGGAGCGCGCGAAGTACATCGCCCTTGTTTCTTTTCTCTCCGTGCTACTGCGTTGATGCAACCGATTGCAATCATGGGGCAGTTTCGCGACGTTGCGTTGACGTCTGCTGGAAAAAGGGTGGGAATGGGGTTTTGCGGATGCCAGTTGCAACCGATATATAAGACGCGTCTGGTTGACGCGCAACTTCCCCGCGTGAATCACAACCTCCACCATGGCCCAGCCTGACACCGAGCGCATGTCGCAGCTATCTCAGCGGCAACGGCAGATTCTTGCCCGACTCTACCACCTCTTGGACCACCACACTGTCGCAGGTCCGGAATTTGCCCAGGCTCTTTCGGCTCTCTTTTGCGCGGACGAGAACTTTCGGAAGGGAAAGCAGGTCGAATGCCGCTCTCGCTTGGGTTATGCTGTGCGTATTCATATTGTCTGGAACACTCTATCCTTATTCATATATTATACAGAAACTATATCCCAAAATTCTTCGACAACACTTCTTTCCTAACGCTGTCATCGATGTGAATGGCGTTCAGGATTTGGGGCGCTACGATGTAAGCGCCGAGGCCGTCAAAAGAATGGTTAAGCTTCCGCTCTCCGTTCTCAATATGGAACTTCAGTTCATCTGTGTACACTCGGCCAAGCAGAATCCTTCGGTTCCTTGCGGACACATGTGCGTCATTCCTTATATCACGTTACATATGCGTAACTGACTAGAATTATACTTGCAGGTGTCGCCGGCTGCAAAGTTTGTTCAATCACATGGATACGCACTTTGGACAAGGTCAAGCAAGTGTGACCCAGAAACGGGAGTACGCCGAGATTACCATGTCTGCATTCTTCAACGACATCACTACTTCCAAAGCGCTCCTCAAACGCCAGAAAGCCTGCTCGCAGAGAGGCTTACCTATGCCCGACTTGCTCTTCTTCCGGGACATACGTCCCATCGGCGACCTGGTGAAGACCAAAGTCAATGAGGTCCTCTCTCGCCTCCCCACGCCGAACCCAGCTTCCGGCGCACCTATTCTGACGCCCGCTGGTCCTCCCCCCAACCTTCCTCTCGTGTTCGGTTCCGGCGTCGCGGACAACTTCACCTTCGAACCGCAGCCTGCAGCAGCACCTCCTACATACCCAGTGTTCGCGCCCAACGCACAGAAACCGCCGCGTTCTATCGACTACTACGGCCTCGTGCCCGGGCCTGTGCAAAACAACGCGCCCATGGCTGGACCGAGCACTTTCGCACCGGCGCCCCAAACTAGCTTTTACTCCGCATCGAGCGCAGCGTCCGGTCCACGCTCGCTACAGGTAGTTGATGACGAGTGGGTCAAGACCGCAAAAGCGGTTTGCGAGGGGGCAGAGGAGGATGAGGGGATACTAAAGCAGAGTGGCAAGGCGCCCAAGGGTCAGGGCAACGGGAGATCGCGTACGATTGCCTCCACGCCCTACGGTCGTCCTACCCCTCGGAAAGGCGAGACTTCTGCGTCCGCCACATCAGGGTCATGGCACATACGTTCTTCATCCGTAGCGTCTAACGCCTCGAACTCCTCGGCGGCGTCGGCCGAGACCGTCAGCTCTTCTGCGAGCGGATACGACACCTCTGGTTCATTCACGTCCAACCTGTCACTTCCCTCCTCGTCAGAACCTTGTCCTGAGTCGCAAAAGGAGATCCTCGACTGGATGGATAACCAGCCCTCGTTTGAATGGCCTTGGTGATGGCCTGGCCTGGCGATACCGCGGATGGTCTGGATTAGTTTTGAAGGATTTTATCACGGTTTTGCGAGCCCACTCATGTATTTTGTTATCATACGTACGATTGTTGTTTCACGATATTTCAGTATTACTGCTCTTACCATGTACATCGATAGTTTAACGGACACGGACATTGCTGTTTTCGTTTACTTACTTTCCCTTTGCTTTCTATCCACATCGTCGTCATAGTCGCACCATCTACGTACCGTCTCCCTCCGCGCAACCTCGCCCTCCGCTCCACACACTGTATTCAATCCAATACCTGATCTGTCTCTATGTCGTGAATCTGGCTGAACAGCGGTCGCCACTGCTTGGGATCACATCCATCGTCGCTGAGAAAGACAATACGCCAATTCATTCCGATCATCCAAGAGCTTCAACCGAGCTGGCTCAGAACTACTACTACTACTTTCATACGGGAACAACCGGACAGTCCAGAGTGGATGGAGGAGATTAACTTGTACGGTACGCGTGAGGGACTTGATGTTTGTATGTAGTATGCTTGAGACGAGAAGGTATTGCATATAACGTCACGTCGAGATTCACAGACGATGTTACGGACGGATAATCGAGGGATATGGGAATGGTATCGGTGGTGGTGGTGGTGGTGGTGGTGATGGGTGGCGAGTGAGAGCGTGAGCGTAAGACTACGAGAGCGATGGCATAGCGAGGACAGCGACAGCGATCCAAACGTCGAAGGCGAGCGAGATGAACGAGACGGCCAAGAAGCGGCATGAAACAGCGAAGGCGGGGAACAGACAGATAAGCATCACTCAGAGCTTGACAGTGAGCATGTACATCTGCAGATCCTTCCATCCACCACCGACGCGGACCATGACCTTCTTCGTCGCCGTGCTTCCCGGACGCGAAAGCGTGGTCAAACGGCAAGTAACGACCTTGCGAGCAAGCGAGCTCGAGAAAGCATATTGCGCCTGCTGCTCCTCGCCTTCCTTTGGCAACTGACTGTTCCTGAGGGGTGGGTCGACGCGCTCAACGAGCAGAGTATGGGCAACGCTGTTGACGATGGCCGCCACCTCCGCGTCGAGAGGATCGCGTGGGTTGCCCGGCACATACACATGTGCAGGTGCACCCTCGCCGAGTGCACCAGCTGCGCTAGCACGGGAGAGGCTACGGCTAGGTGAACGTACTCCGAGGCTGCTCGGAGCGCGAATACCAGAGGGTGTTGCTGTGCCGTTGTCACGGAAACTCGACGGTGGAAGTTTGATCGTGCTGCCGCCACGAGGGCTAAGCGCACCACCAGCAGACGTTGCGACGCTGCCAGTCGGGCTCATCGCACGTGCAAAGTAATCGGAGGGAGGACCGCGGCTAGGACTTGAGTCCATAGCGCTTCCTGGGCGGGAGGGCGAGGAGAAGTGGAAGACGGGAGCGGGGATCATGCTGCGGCTGGGTGGGCGCGCGTGGGGAAGACGCGTGCCGCCGGGCGTCTCTGCGCGATTGGGAGGTGGGCTGAATGCGCGTTGCATGAGCGCCATCTCTTCATCATCATCTGGCATGCCCGTACGCGTACGAAATCGCGAAGGTGTTGTCGGCATCTGGCTGTGCGGAGTAGTCGCACGAGAGGATGCACGTCCAGGGTTGTATGACCCGACTGCGTACTGAGAACGGCTCGGCGGGCGATTGAACGTGCGGCTTGGAGCGCGAGTATGTGAGCCCGGCGTAGTGCTTGTGCTCTGACCAGGGGAGAACGGCCGTGAAGATCCGGTCATGGATGTACGACTGGCACTGCGCTTGTAGGGACTCGCACTTGTAGAAGGCGCCGGAGGGGTTGCGTTCATTGCCATGCTGGAGCTCGGTCTCCTGAACCGCATTGTCCCACGACCATCGTCTTGAACCTTCGTACTCGAATTCCATGGCTGCTTGTTGAGCGTGCCAGCGGCAGTAGATGCTCTGCTGCGGAGAGTCCCGCCGCTCTGGGCAGCGGCGCGCGCGACACGATCGGCGGAAGGAGACGACTCGGGAGTCATTGATTGGGAGTGCTTATGGCCGGGGGTCTGAGGAGTAGCTGGTGGGTGGCCGCCGAACAGTAGCATGCTCTTGCGGTTGCGAAGGGTGCGAGTGGGTTCGCTGGACGGCTGCTTGACGATCTTCGAAGTGGCGGGGGTCTGAACGGGTGTTGGGCGGCCGGACAACGAGCTCTTGAGGTTGCGCGCCATCTTGGAGATGGAGCGCGACATGCCGCTCTTCGCCTTCTTCCCGTTCGCGCCTGCAACTGATGAATCACCGCTTGGTGGCGTCAGGTAGCCACTACGGTTCTTGCTCTTGCTGGTTGGACCGGAAGTTGTTGAAGACGTCTCTGACGGCGCGAACTCTGAACCTTCGAGGATGCGCCTGACCATGGCCATCTGCTCGTCGGTGCGAGTGATGCGTTCACGCAAAGCTTTCCATCGGGCTGTGCTCTCTCCATGTCGCCGCAAGCACTCGCCGTTCTTCGTTACGCGGTCTTGGACACCCTTATCGATGATACCAAGAACCTTGGTGGTGGTAGGCATATAATGCCTATATCATGTTAGACAGCGCTCGCTAAGATATCGGTCAACGCTTACTTCTTCTTCGCCTCAAAAGACTCAAGCAATGCTTGGAAGGTTTCCAGGGTGAGCAGAGTGCCCTTCTCCGATCGTATGGACGACTGAGAGGGGACAGATGCGAGAGACGACGACGGAGACATTGAGTCTTCAGGGAATGCTTTCTGCACCTGCCAAATGAAATCCTATACAGGCGATCAGAAGGAGGCGACGCGCACCATAACGAAGCCCACGTACCTGACAGCGATTGACAGCCTTCTCCAAACTAGACATCATTCCATCCGCCTGGTCGGTAACCGTGCGAAAGACGGTAAGCCATTTATCCTCCTTCAACTCCTCCCGAAGCACTTCACTCTCCTCTTGTACGGCTTCCCAGTCTGCCATGAATGCGGCATGCTTTCGTACAAGCATAGCACGCTCGCTTTCATCGTCATCGGCGGGCTCGAAACCAAGGAGGGGGGCGATGGATTCTGACACAGAGGCAAGGCCGGCGGAGACAGCCTCGAGGCGTTCGTCCAGAGCCGCGAGGGAGCTATCAATGACGCTCGACTGAGAGGCCTCGCCACTAGATTGTGATCTATGTCGAAGTTCTTGAATCTCTGCGGGTCGGCGTTAGTTTCCTGCCGATTACAGAATATACTCTGGGCTCACCAAAGATACGGGTCTGAATATCGGAGATGCTGTACGACAACTCCGTTATGTGCGTGGAGATGGTCAGGATCTGCAGGTCGCTGAAACGAGGTCAGCATGCGTTAAGCGCCCGTTGAGACCACGCGATGTGAAACCGAGCGCGTAGGCACAATTGCCCAAGCAAGGCAACTGTGACGCTGAAAGCATCCGTGACAACGTGTTGAACACGCAGGTTCGCAATACGCGGAACCGAGCACATGAGGCGCACGACAGGCGTTGCCCTAGCTCGATATAGCATTCCATACCATTGAAGCAGTGACGAGCTGGAGTCGCGTTCCACGCTACGGCGTTTTGCGAGAAGTTGTGGCTCGTTTCGCGGCGAACCACCAACCATCGTCTCGATCCCGGTGCAGCTGACCCACACGCCTTTGCGATAACGACGTGAGGTCGAGAGTAGATACTCACTCGATGCTCTTCCTCCCCTCCCCGAACTCGCTGACCGAGCCGACCTTGCTTTTCCGATCTGCTGGGAGGGCATTGGTAGCCTTCGCCGTAATAGTGGCATCCTCTGTCAATCATTGAGCACCAATGATCAATGCGATATGAACTTGTCATTCATACCTTGGTCCGCACGGTTGAGCGAGACATTGGAAGATGAACTGCTCGCCGAGCCGGTGGAGAAGGCCGGGGAATGAGGTGAGACAGGGAAGCCGCCGGCGCTGAGGGCGCGGGAGCTGGTGGAGTGGAAGCTGCTTCTTGAAGATGATAGGTCGAGTGGTTGAGGCGCGAGGTCGGCGGACATGAGGGTTGGAGACAAGGAGTATGAATAAAGAACGGAAGGGTGTGAGGACCCGCCGGAGTTGTGCGACGGGACAGACAGACGCGAGCGAAAGCTGCGAACGGCCTGGCGGCTATTGAATCGGGGTATACACCGCCGGCCGACAACGCGACGGATCCTCTCTGTGCGTCGGCTTGAGCGTTGAGCAGAGGTCGATCGTGGATACGGGGCAAGTTGAACTATTCCCGACCGGCCAGCCGCGTGTGGTCGCGCTCATTTATTCCTTGTCTCTTCCCACCATCAGCCATCCCGTCAACCTTGTCATTGTGGACACCCAGGGACAGCATGTGCTACACAACTTATCGTACAGGCAACGTACGCATATGATGATGAAGAGTGATAGGAACTATGCGTCCATGGTGAAAATATGCATCTAATAATTGCTCTTATGTCGCGCGGTGCTATGCTCTCATCGGAGGCAGCGTTTCTATCTCCGAGTATGCATTACTCCCCTCAATTCGCTTTAGCCTTCGTGTTCTACCGTTTCACTTCGATGATGCTCACGCAAAACGGCGTCGTACCTCTTGCACCGGTGCAAGCCCTCTGGATTCTAAGCGAAAGCGTACTGATATCTCTGCATGCGCATATGCATTCTGCCTCTCGCCGAACGCCTTCGGCAGGGACTGAGAGTACAGCAGTACAGCTACGTATTATCTCGGTGAGACAGGCTTTGGCGTGAGCGTCCGGTCATCAGGGTCGACACCTGCACACGTCCTACACCAGCATGCGGGCAGCGTGTTCGTCGCCGAGGAGAATGGCAACCCGCGGGTATTGACGGTGATTATGGCGCCCGCCGGAATGTCTACGAGGGCGCGAAGTACGAATGCATGGCTGTCTGGTACTGGGCATACCTGAAGAGGGTCCTCAGTCATCCGCGAGAACGTATCATTCGTCAGACGCAAACCTCGGCGTTGGGTCTGCAGTCATGCGTCACCAGACGCAATGGGCCGGATACGGCGCGTACACCGATTGCGCCTCGCTGTGCTGGGTAGAGGCGAACGGCCAAAACGCCCTCGAGATCGACGATATTGGATGATACGGAGCCAAATGTGTTGAATAGGTACGCGCGGGAAGTGATGAACTGGCAGGACTTCAATCCGTACGTCAGTCGTACAGTGCCGAGCGATAGGGTTCTGATGATAGCAGGGCGGACGGGTGCGCCTGGGGTGAAGAATATAGCATAGCGTCTTAACAAGCTGGATGATATCGCATAAGAACAACGCGGCTCACGGGCGTGGTCAGTGCACTTACTGTATGAGGGTCTTGATCCACAGCTGGCGCAACTCAATCCAGCCATCTCTAAGTTGGAACGCGGGTATGTCAAGTAAAGCTTGCGCAACGGCATGAATACTCTGCGTGGACTGAGCAGCATCTCGTTTGTGTATGATGTTGGTAGCGGCTATCCTCTCCTTCAGCGAAGCTATAGAAGTTCGATCGTGCAGGGGCCAAGAAGGCGTGACGACAGGGGAACGTCCGCCCACGAGAGAAGACCCCTTATTCTGCAGTAGACAGTGTGCGAGAAGGTCATCGGCGCGTGACAAGAGACCGAAAGGGAAGGTCTGCGCGTTTAGTTCGTCGATAGTCGCGTGAAGAAGTTCATTCGGTGACGAGCGGCCTTCCAGCGTGGGCCGTTTCCTGGAAGTCCACGAGCTCCAGTCAAAGGGCTCGGGTTCTCGTTTTCGTTTCAAAAGGTTCTCATGGTTCGCGGGCAGGGAGGCGATAGTACTGGTCGAGGGACTGGCGGACATCGTGGTAGCGTCGTGGCGGCCGCGGGAGGGTCGCGCCCATCGCGAGGTCGACTCGTGGCGACAAAACGCGGTAACGTGATCGCGTCTCACCAGCAGTAAGGCGCATCGCTCGTCGGTACTCGAGACGAACAATCGTGATTGGATACAGATACAGACACACCGCGAGGATATAGAAGGAGACTCTATACAAGTACATGCACATTTCCGCCCCTTGAATGATACAGAATGATACAGCAACCTTGATCCACAGTAGCGATAGACGACCTCAGTGTATCACGGTGCGACACGAACACTAAGCGGACCACCCAATTATTCCACGTCCTTGTGCTTCAAGATGTCACAAGCCTTGAAAGGGGACCTATCGCACATCCGTAAACATGAGGAACGGGCCATAGTGAACGTCGAAGACCTACCACGTCTATCGCCTGATCAACGTGCATCGCAAGTTTCTCAACGAATCGCACCAGCTTCGGTGCCTCCGACTTGCGACACGCCTCGCATTTGCTCATCTCCGTCAAGGCAGCCACGACCCGTTCAGTGTCTGACACGGCACTCCCAGATATGTTCGTCCTCAGTGCTGCGTGCGCGGTATCGAGGAACGCCTTAAGCCACTGTATGAGGCGTCCCTGACAAGGATACTTGCGGTAGAGCACATCGTCTTCCGCTGGCCCCAAAACGTCTTCAATCTCCCACGCATATCCATCCAGGTCGTCAACGTAGAGGCACGAGCACCCGTTGGTCCCGCAGGTGCTGTTTCCGGGCAGCTCCGGTACGGGAAGCCATTTGACGATGTCCTTCGCATCCATGGCATCTTGGGCGGCGCGGAGACAACGGTTCTGATAGTCGAAGAGGGCGTGGAACTGCGTTGCCGACAGTCCAACGAGTAGCGTCGCAGGGACTCGGTCCAGACGTGACGGCGTGCGGAGGGTGAGCCTCGCCATGCTCAGAGCCAGTCCGCGTAATGACGAATGGCGACAAGCAAGCACGTATATTGTCTCGGGACCTGGCCCATTCTCCGTGCTAGCCACTTTGGTGAGAGCCTGGATGACGGCGGATGGGTAGAACTTTGCGACGTATTTGTCCATGGACATGCAGAGAGTAAGAAGTGTTGGCCAGTCGTCGCTGAGGTCGGGGCATGGGACGGGATAGAGCATATGGAGAAGGGGAGAGAGCACTTTGGCAGGCTCGCTTAGAGGCACCACAGGTAGCCCGTCCAGTGAGGCTTGCACGTCGCCGGTACCCACAGTGCTTGCGCCCTGTATGAAGTTCCCCGTCAGTGCTTGTTCTTTATTCCGACAGAGCATAAGACGCACAAGCATGTCCTCAAACCCGTAGAAGAGTTTGGCCAGGAGAAGTTTGTGAACTCTGAAGTGTACATTGTCACTTGATTGAATGATGATATCCGCGTCCTTGTCGTCGAAGGGCGCGCCTGCGGATCGCAATTCCGACTCGCTACTAGGCGGAGGGTCAGGCTGCACTACTTCCGGCTCCGACGCGGCCTGCATTGCGTATGATGCAATGGGAGTGACCGAGTGAAGACGGGTGAAGGAAGGAAACGGTGCCTTCCATGCCCATATAAGAGTGAGCAAATCTGTCTCAGCTAACAATGATGGCTCGGGGTCGTGACAATAGGCATCCTGACAAGTCCGTTTATGAACCTGATAGAGTAGAGGGTCCTCACGGCTGGGATCACGCAGGTGTATCGTGGAGCGAAAGGAAGAGATGTAATCATGATATAGTGCACTACAGAGTCAATAAACAGCGTCGGACCAAACGATGTCTGAGATAGATAATTCGACCTATGCACCAGGTTGAGCTACATCCACTAGACGCGAAGCAGAGTAGAATGAACTACACGTACCTGCGATATCCTCCGGTCTATCTCTTGTTCTAGCGTTTTGCCGAGTGCAATCATGGCGAACGCAGTCTCGGCAGTTCTGCAGTGATCGCAAGCGTATAGTCCATGCGGAGCAAATACGGAGCTAAAATGCCGCTGGTCGGTAGCGACCGTCCCTCTTGTGTCCTTGACCAACGCAGCTTCGACGAGTTCGAAGTAACGATTAAGATACGAACTCAAGCAGATCTTGATGGTTCCGCGCGCCTATACACACCCATGATTAGAAGCCGTCCTTGTTCGCGAGGACTCAAGACGCACCTTGCTCTGATATAAACGCAAGTCGGACGACTTGTAGCACACCAGGCAACTGTCGGCCTTGTTACGAGCCTCGATGAGCCCCGGGATATCATCCGGGATAAGCTCGATCATCCACGCGAGGTCGCGAATAGCGCTGACAGCCCGTTCCCGGCAGTTGCGCTGGTATGTCGCGAACGCGTGATACTGCTGCATGCTGATCCTCAAGTCCGACACGTCCATATCCGAGAACCCTCTCGGTGAGCGCAACGACGCTTTCGCAGCAGCATTGGCCACTTCGCGTAGTCGAAAGCGACATGCGAACATGTAGACAACTTCGGGTTCGTCTTCCGCGAGCGCGATCAGTCTGTCCAGCACGGGCCGTGGGTACGATTTGATGCCGTACTTGTCGAGTGCGACGCAGAGATCTCGTATTGTATCTTCATCGGAGAGCTTGCTGGTGGGTGGGGCGACGGGGTAGATAAGTTCCAGTAGACATGAGAGCACCTCGCTGTTTTCGGGAAGAGCCAAGACCGGGAGGCCTTTGTGCGTATCCTGCGGGTCGCCAACGCCCAGCCGGGCTTTGCCGGACTAGTACAAAGTCAATACCGCAGTATCGCCAAGGATGACCGAGTCTAACTCACGAACATGTCATCGAAGCCTTGAAGGGCCTGCGCTAAGACGACCTTGTGCACTTTGAAGCAGAAGCTATCGCGGGTCGAAGATACGATAAGGTCGGCGGCAGCCTCCTTCCACGGTACGACTACGAATCGCCGCGTAGGAGCATTATGGGGCGTCGTCGGTCGAGTAAGACCCGCGTGCGGTGTAGTAGGGCGGGTTGCCGGAGCAGTGCTAGGCGTCGCTGCGCGAGTGCTGGGAGCGGAGATAGGCGACGTCGCCATGATCGTCGATGGAAGCGCGGCAGAAGCGAGTTCGACATCTCGAGTATCGCACTATATATGCTGCGGACGTGTTGCTGATTTCGTTGCCATGCAAGATGAGAGGCTGTTGAGCTCGAGAAGCCGCATGTCGGAAGCCTGAGGAAAGGGCATGGTGATGGTGGTAAGACGTGAGTGACAGCGCCCGCTGCCGCTTGACGAAGCCTTGCTTGCTTTCAATCACCATCACCATCCGCCCTATCCAATGAAGCGTTTTCTGCGTCACTCGTGCGTACTCTCCATCTTACGCCGTACTCAGACAATCTCTTCTCCGTCGAGACCTTTGTGTTGGATTTGAACGAAGAGTTGTGATCACCTTGGCCTTAACACCGATCATATATCTCCGGGATGATTCGGCGCTCGACGGGTTGTTCATCCTGGACCACATATGAGAACTTCAGCCGTTCTTGTGATACGTTCCCTCCACCTTGCCCATAGCTCCTGGGGTTTATCGTGCTGCTCCCGCTCCTACCGCCGTCACACCCAGCCCACCGTAACACGTCGAACAACGAAGAGCGGTATTCACTATGGAGCTCTACTCAAGTGCGTTGTCTGACCCTGTTTCAAACCTACACCCACTGACGCATCTTGACAGCAAGCTCGGACATCCCAAGGACAGAGCTCCTTGATAGCAATGGACGCACAGTCTATCGCATGCGTACGGAGACGTCCTTCAGGAAGAGCAAAACGACCATTGCGCGTTTTGAACCTCAAGGTCAAGACGGGCCGCAACCCGTAGTCATCGCCGAAATCACCTGGCGGAATTTACACGACGATGAGATCACCTACCGCGGACAGACACACAAATCCAAGAGCCTGATCCACAGGCCTGACGAGTGGACACCGTGTGTATCATCGCTGGTGATAGGAAGTCATACGCTAACTTATCTGTAGTAAACACGACTTCACCGGAGCATCTGGCCGTGCCTATTACTGGAAAGAGGGCGTTGTAAGGCAATGTTCTTCTAGCGATCAGCATGCATTCCACTGATTACGCCCGCTACTTGTCCGTAGTTCTACACTTCGGACGGCGTTGAAGCTGGCCGCTGGCACAACAAATCGTACGGCTTCTTTAGCCAAGCGCACGCTGCTTACTTGCGAATTGACGATCCAGAGATCTTAAATGACCTAGTGAGGCGACCCCTCTTGTTGACTGAAGCCTCTCGACTGACAACTTGCAAGGATGACATTATCCTCGTTATGGTCTATCACTTCTGGAAGTGGTTGGCAACCATCAATGCCGGTCTAGCTGTCGCCGCGGCTTGAATTGCCAGTGTTGCGGCCGTATAAACACATCTACTCACATGGACGACCTCTACTCTGTACTGAGGAAAACTCACCCGTACAGGCCTGCCTCGTAGACATCGTGTCGCAACATGCATCCTTACAAGCCAGTGTTGATTTGCCGGGTAATGCTCTGAAAGCAGTTCTTGTTTGATCGCGCTCATATCCTTGTACGTGGGTACTGCCCCAGAGATGTAGATGAGGAGAGCTATAGACGTGCAGTACGCGCAGCGCGTGTGTACAATGCCATAGAGCGACTTGTGGCACTTCAAGCTTCAAGCTTCAAGATGATGGGTATAGACAGTGTATCGAGAAAAGAATAGATAGTCTTTTGTTTCCTGATTTGACTTGGGAAAGCATATATGGTATACTAGAGATCAGGAACCGATCTCTGCACCTATGGTCCGTATCTTAACTCATCGCGTACAATTAAGAGAGCAGCAGGTGCATACCGTCGCGATCCTTCGATCAATCTCCTTCATAAGCTTGTTCGCAAAAGCCATCATGCCGAATACATGGTCCACCGTCTTACACTTATCGCAGATCAAGGCGCTCGGCGCGTTGAAGACACTCTGAATGAGGGCCTCGTTGGTAGCTACGCTTCCCGCCGTCTCTTTCGCCAGCGCTCCTTGAACCGCATCCAGATAGAACGTCAGCCACGTGCTCAGATACACGAGATTGGGATTGAATGCGTGGACCTGTGCTACGATCAGCTTACTGGACGTTCATATTCGTGGACAGGGACGAACCCCTTGTGACGGAGGAAGACGAGTGGGAGCGTTGTGGCACGTTTCGCAACGCGGAGGCTGTACTCCGTTGAATGTCCCCGACGCATTAGGGGAGTTCAGAGTGGCGATGTAAGTGGCGATTTAACAGGCGATTTACAGGCGATCTCGAAGTCGATCCTGGTCCCCGGATCGCCCTCTAAATCGAGTTGAGAGAGCAGAATCCAAATCGAGTTTTGGTGTCTGGCACTCCTTTTTAGGCGTTCTAGCGAGGATCGCCTTCGCAATCGCCTTTCGAGATCGAGCTCTGAATCGATTCTGCTTGTATCGCTCGTGGCGCATGTCGTATCTAGCGTAATCTACCATACAACACGAGTCCACATGCACCATAAGTCCGCGTCGCCCGATAAGAGTCGGAGTCCATCCCGACAGACGCCGTTTTTTTCGCTGCGTTGGCCCACCCCGGCTCTCTCCTTCCCATTGCGGTCTTCCTTCCCTACACCCGCATCATGGCTCCCAGAACGCCTGCGAAAGCACCATCGAAGCCTGCTAGTACCCCTGCTTCTAAAACAAAGACGACCTCGGCAACGAAGAGACTCTCTGTTAAGGCTACCGTCCAAAAACCGGCATCTACTCCGAAGCCGGGCAAACCAGCTCGCCGCAGCAACAAAAGCAAGGCTCCCGAACCTGTCGACGATGAGGATTCTGAGGAGGAAGACGAGGATTCTGATGAAGAAGACGTACCTGATGCTGAGGAGGACGAAGAAGCGAAGAATAAAAGAACAGCTGAAGAAAAAAAGCGGGACGTCGAGTAAGTATCCAGCTTGTGCATAGATTACTCTCGCTGACGAGCGTAGTTGGTTGGCCGACGACATGGCAAAGTCATTCGCCCTGATCGCGGCTGTCACCGACGACAAGGTCATCAAGAATATCATCTATCCCGGACCAGGCGCCCATGCATCGACCAAAAACGGCGGCGGCAAGAAGAAAACCTTGGGTTACCGCATGTGTCACGAGGCGCTCTTCGAAAACGACCCGCAGCTCAAGGAGATCTACCGCTTTGACCGTTCGAGGTTCGACCTTCCAAAGAAACATCCGGATAGGGCGGAGGGTAAGAAGTGGCTCACGAAATGGAACAACAAAATTAAGAGCAGACTACATGCGTACGTGACCCCGTGCATTGTGCGTCTGCCTGCCTCACAATCCTCGTAGTATGGCTACCGAGACGACAAAAAATATTGTCGCAATGGGCAAGACTGGCGCGGGTCTCGCCAGCGCGGATCTCATCACCGCGGGATCCGAACTCGAGAACGTGTGGAGTACGTATTGTGTTGCCCGTGTATATCTATGTCATTGCTTAGTCATGGTTACAGCGGTTGTGAAAGAAAAATGTCCGTACTTCTACGAGATGCGTGATCTCATTGGCGACCGCCCAAGCGTGGTTCGCACGGGTCTCGGTAATCCCGACACGCCGATCGACATGGACGTTCTTGAGACCACTGCTGGTGAGGTCGACGACGGCGAGGAGGCTTTGCAGTCTGGCGAGGAGGATGCCGAGGGTGAAGACGAGGAGGACATCGTGGTGGTAACGGGCAACGACGCGGCGAGCGCGGCAGGTGCGGCGGATCCGGCGAGCGAGGACGCGACGGCTCCCGCAGTGCGAAAGAAGCCATTCGTGTCGGCTCTTGACTTTGAGCACTCGGACTCTGAGGACGGACACCCTATGGAGCTCGAGGCCGTACAGGCGGCCGAGCTACCGCCGCGCAGGCGCAAGCGCAAGGCGGACGCGGGTGAGAAGGCCGCGAGCACGCCCGACACTTCTGCCGCCGGCGCGAACAAGTCGGCGCCCAAGAACGGGAAGAAACAGAAGTCGTCTTCGACCACCTCCAACACCACATCCGCACCTCGAGGGAGTGACACCGGCCGTAAGAAGAGCAAGATCGACCAGTTCGCCGAGATGGCGGCGAGCGAGCAGGAGCTGCAGCTTAGCGAGATAAATCTTGCGAAGGCCAAGGCAGACCGCGAGGCGGCTCGGGTTAAGGGCAAGGTGGAGAACGAAAAGATCCGCCTGGAGGGTCTCGCGAAGAAGGAGGAGGGCAAGTCGAGCTTGAGGATGGAGAGGCTGAAGCTTCAGCAGCTGGAGATGCAGTTCAAGATCAAACGCATGGAGATCATGCAGCAACAGGTAAGGTTTCGTGCGCACATCAACCCTATCGCGCAATCTTATAGGATTTCCCAGGCGCCTTCCGGACCCTTTCCCGGTGGAATGCGCGGTGGCTGGTACGGGCCACAAGGGCCCTCAATGTGGGGCATGCCGCCCAACATGTACGGTTCTAGCCCGTCCTATGGCTTCAACGGTCCCGCTCAAGGCTTCAATCACGGTTCCGCTCAAGGCTTCAATAACGGCACCGCTCAAGGCTTCAATAACGGTGCTGCTCAAGGCTTCAATAACGGCTCCGCTCAAGGCTTCGCTGGCCCTTCGCAAGGCTTCGCCGGTGGTGCGGGTCCCTCGAACGGAGGATTTGGCGGATCGGGATCGAGGGATATGCGTAATGGTTGGGAGCATGGTGACATGTCGATTGGTGGGGGGTTTGATGAGGATGCGGAGATGTTCAACGGGAGAGGCGGCCAACAGACTTACGGTATGGAAGGGAATGGAATGCCTATGCCTGACTACTATGCCGACGAGACGTGGAATGTGTCAGGGCAAGGTTCTTTGTATGGGCAGGACGAGAACAATTAGATTGCGCAACTAATATTCTAATACAATAAAAGTAGTCACACAAGTAGTACCTCATAAACAATCATAACCCCTCTTCATGCTCTCCTGCAAGTAGTCTGGGCGGTAGTTGGGAGTTGATGACGCGTGTGGGTGCAAGGCGGTCGACGACGCGACTTGACGCGCCGTCAACGTTTACCTGGTTTGTAAACGTCGACGACGCGTCAAGTCGCGTCGTCGAGCTGCAGTGGCATCTTCGACGAGTGTTCACATTGTTTGATCGCATATTTTTGCACAGTGCATGTACTTATTCAACAGCAATACCACTAAGATCTTTAAGATGTACTCTATTCGTCGGTGTCACCGTCATAATCAGTCTCATCAGTGTCAAATAATAATTCGCGGCGAGCAGCGCGCGCGTTGCGCTGCCGCTGTCGGTGCCGCTTCTCCCTCTCCCGAAACAACTGCCGCATCTTCTTCAACCGGAACTGCTTCCCCTCGTACAGACCCGCGCGCGCTCCCCGGCGCCGGCGATATTCCGAATTTGAGTCGTCTGAGAAGGCATTTTCATCCTCGGACGAGGACGACCTACCTTCCTCTACAAAGGGATCGTCAGCCGGGTCCATCATCTCGCCGTCCTCTTCTCGCTCATTCTGCTCGCACTCGAGAAAAAAGTTGTGCAGGTAGACACAGCACACGATCCAGTACGTTGCGAACTTGTGCGTCTTCTCGTCGCTGATGTTCAAACGAAGGCCGCGTAAGGAACCAAAGCGGCCCTTCAGAAGCGCGTTCGCGTGCTCGTTACGGATGCGAAGATGGGAAAGTGCCGTGTTGAATGACTCCTTATCGGGATGTCTTGCTTCGGGCATCTTGAACGGTGCGACAAGCCAAGATTCAATCTACCAGGAGTTCAGTTCACCGTGCGCAGCCAGATGTTGACAGAGACATACGGGATAAGCAGAGTCGCCCCATATCCATTCACCCTCTGCGAGCAGATCTTCATGTTCGGCGTAGATCTTTGTTTTCTGCCATGCCGTGGAGTCATGGGTTGACCCGACATAGCCGTAGCTGAAATCAACGATGCGCAAGTTCGGCAGGCAGACGAGCTTTGGACGGGTCAGCCTATGCAACAAACATAACGAAAGTGAGGCAACAAACCTGAACATTTAAGGAGTAATGACTTTTGCGGTCGTAGTAACTCTCGCCGTACCAAAAGGGTTTGGCATAGAGAGGTACCAGAGTCCCGTCAACGAAGAGATACCCGTCACGCCACTGCTTGACCGAGTGATCCTCGACCCATTGCTTCGCCTCCTCCTTCTCCTCCTCTGTAGGCCAGCGCATATTCTCGTCCAAGAAGTCGCGCCGCAAGATGGCCGTCATGACACGACGTGTAGCAAGAAGAACCGTGCCGACACTGTAGCCGGACCACCACGCGACCTTCTGCACCTTAGCTGCGTTGCCGTGATAGCCTGTTCGGTAGAGGAAAATGCCGATCTGATGCTCGACAGGCATCTGCTCGTTTGACGAATCGTTGGCGAAGACCGCGTCATCTTCTAGACGTTCGACGAGACTGTCGAAGCTCCGGGGCGTCACGCGCAACTCCTCGCGGAATAGGTCGGGACGCCTGTCTTTGACAACATCGAGAAAGTAATCGAGATGTGCCGGGGGGCGAGGGTTGTTATCGCGGGGCATCTCGTAACGGTGCTCGTACATGGTTTCGATGGCCTCACGGGCGGTGCGTGATGCTCGCAGGGGGAATGATGGCCGAAATGGAGTATCTTCCCCAGAAGAGTAGCCAGAAGACGACGCATAATATCCTGCAATATATTTGAGAAGTTGTAACATAGGGGCTGCTCATAACGAACGTACCGCCCTCATCGTCTGAGTCTGACGACGACGACGAGCCTGACCCTGAGCCTTCATTCATCTCCCAATCCTCGTCGTCGTACCGTATGTCTGCCCCAACCCTCTCTGCCCACCAGTCCCAATCCATATCCTCGTCCTGATCCTCCCCCTGGTCTTCCCACCACTCTACGTCGGCCAATTCCGGCATCATGTCCATGTCGTCGTCATCCATGCCCATCACGGACGTGCTACTGCTGTCCGTATCAGAGCCATAGGAGGAGCTCGAACTCGGAAAGGAGCTCTCTGACGAAGAGTCCGAGGAAGATGATGCGGAAGACCGGACGGAAGACGAGTCCGAGTTATCTTCGAGGTGTAGTCCTGCTCGCCGCCGGAGTCGGTGTTGCAGGCGGGTACGCTTTGCTTGATTGGCATGCCAACGCCGTACAGAGACCTTGTATCCCTTCACGACTGCATTGACACGCTTCTGGCGGTGTGTATACCGAGGCATGGCGAGGGATAGACGTGATGGTGGTAAGAAGCAAAAAAGAAAGTTTCATTTTCATTTCTATTTAGCTACGATGAGAAGGATATCCTAACGGTCTATGTGCAACGGCACATGAAGGGTGGGGATCGGTTGGCCGACATGGAGGTGCTGTCAAAACGGGGGGTTCACGCCGGAAAGCGATCTAGCGGCGATCTAGCGTCGATTCCCACCGCAAGAGCGTGTGCGGAATCGACCTTGAATCGCCATTCAAATCGCCTGCACATCGCCACCTGCATCGCCACTCTGAACTCCCCTATTGAAGCCGGGTGGAAGCGGTTGTTGCTTGCGCATCCAAGCCAAGTCACTAATAACAGCAGTAGCCTGCTCGCGGCATTCGATCTGGTACGTCACGAAGGCATGGTACTGCTGCGCGCTCAGGATGAGCTCCGTAGGCGGTACCTTGATGAAGAGTTTGGGCGAACGCAACGAAGCCTTCAACGCCGCCACCGCTACTTCAGGTAGACGAAAGCGACAAGCACGGATATAGGTGAGCTCCGCCTCTACCGTGGCCCAGCGTAAGAGCCCATCTACAACGGGCCGAGGAAACGTCTTGACGCAGTACTTGTCGAGGGCCACGCAGATGCCCACCAGGACGTCCCGAGGAATGAGTCGGAGGTTCGGGGCCTCGAAGGGATATATGAGCTGCAAGATTTTCTCCAGCACAATGGAGCTCTCGGGGACGGGCACGACCGGAAGCCCATCTTTCTGTTCCTGGGCACCCCCGGCACCCAGCAGTGGTGTGCCAGACTGCGCGAACGAGTGTCAACAATGGAGCCTTTACATGGTCAGTACCTGAACGCTACTCACAAGCATGTCATCAAACCCCTGGAAGGCATACACAAGCAAGAACTTGTGCGCGCCAAACTCTCGTCCGTCCACCTCAGAACGCAGTAGGAGATCGGGGTCGACGACCGTCCAGGACGGGATGGGATCCGGGTCTGCCGAGGTGGTCGACGACATCCAGTATTGACTATGCAGATGATGGCGAGAGTTTCGTTCACAGATGGCATCGATATCCCTTATGTACCAGAGCCAGCGCCTATCGCGAAAGAAGTGTGTGCTGCATGACCTTTTCTGGAATGGGGATGGCTTCATAGAGGAGAGTGCGCCGCACGCGTCAACACTGCGAATTGAACCCGGTCGGTCTGTTGAAGAGAGGTATAATCCTGAGACTACATGAAGGCATCCGGTGATGGTGGTTCACACCACAGTCACTACCGCGCGCGTTCACGCGGACTCTGGACTACTAGGTGCGTTTCCTCCATTCTGAGTGACCATGAGTGAGGACCATCTCGTACAACTGCTTCATAGCACTCAAGAGGATACCATGTCCACAAAATATCAACATGGGCTCGCCCGCCTACTCTCTTCACCACGGCACAAGAAACCGAGAAAACTTCTTATCTATTCTTCTTCTGCGTTCCTTCTTCAGCGAGAGAACCCCCACGCACCACATCCGTAACGTGGAGGAGCAACGGGCGGGGGTAGGGGCAGGACGTGCGAGTAGCGTATGTGAGACTGGGAGATGCACGAGCGTGAACTCAAGCAGCATGAGGGGTGACGGTAAGGTAGATGGACGAGGAGGTGCATGACAAGCAAGAGACGTACAACGAACGACACGAACGAACATGTAGCGGCACTAGAATGAGAGGATGGAGAGGATAGAACGGTACGACGAATGGAAGACAAAACAACCAGACAAAGGGAGGGGAGCGAACGAGTGTGTCCGAGCTACGTATGTCGACGTCAGGTATCGTTGCGGCCTGCAGCGAGAGATGGTGGGGGTGGGGGTGCATGATGTATAGTGTACAAGGATTGGTGCGGTGGATGGTTGGACGAGGAGGGACGGATAAGAGGTGCACTATGCGGCCGAGTACAAGAACAGGTTGTTCGTCGCCGCGATCTGCACTTTTATGAGCATCCTGGTCCATACATGCGGTAGATAGGCACTCACAGCAATCGTGTTCTCGCGCGGGTGCCAGCTCGCATGCAAAATCTTCTTATTGAAGTCCAACGTATCGAGCTGCATCGCATCCTTCAAACCGCCGCGCTACCCACACATCAGCTTACGTCCCTTTCGCACCTCACTCAACACTACACGACGCACCTTGTTGTTGTTATTCCCCGGCAACGGCCCACCAGCCTTCTTCGCCTTAAACGCGCTCTTATCCGCCTGCAACACCACATCGCCCGGCGCGCTCCCGTCCCCGCTCCCCGCCGCATCAAAGATCCGCAGATAATTATGGTACGACCCGGTCAACACGCTCCTGTCGTCCCCGGACCACGTGCACTCGAACTTATCGAAGATGCAGTCGTTCTCGTACAGGTCGCACAGCTTGCCGCGGAGGTGGTCGTGGATCTGGATGGTCTTGACGGGCCGCGAGTCCATGTTGACGTCCCAGATCTTGAGGGAGAGGTAGTCGCGCGAGAGGATGTAGCGCCCGTCGTGTGAGAATTTGACGTCGGAGATGGAGGAGATGATCTCGGAGAAGAAGGACCGGTTCGTGGGGTCTTCTTCCTCTTCAAACACTGTGGCGACGGATATATCAGCCCGACTTTGCGTGCACAGCATGTGTATAAAAGACGTACACTTCGCGTGCCGGTCGCAGAGGGCAGAGTCGCGCATGTCGGCGAGCTTGATGTTGCTCTTGGATGACGAGTACATGAAGACGTTGCACTGCGTGGGGTGGAACTCGGCCGCGGTGATGACCTCCGTGAGCTCCTCCATATTCGCCGGCTTGATGTCCACAATGTCTATCAGGTGCACGCGACATCACGCAGAAGCGAGTGACAGGGCGGAAAGAGGAAACGGGAAGAGTAAGCAGAGATAGAGGAATGACGTCAGTGCTCTATCCTGTTTAGCAAATGACGATCCGAGTACGCACTGAAGCTCTGGTCGCTGATCCCCAAGTTCCAGAGGTTGATTCTGAGGTCGTCGGCAGAGATGTAGGTTTCTTGATCGCTGTTGACGGCGATGGAGTGGATGTGGTAGGCGTGGGCGTTCGAGTAGACCTTGCGAGGTACGGCGGCGATGATGTTGTCCTGGTGCGCCATCCGCGGCAGACGCAGGTGTTGGCGGAGCGCGGGTGGTGGTACTGGGCGCGAGCCATCGTTGTGGTTGGACTCTGCGACGACGCGAAGAGACTTCTCGAACACTTTCCAGAGCTTGATCGTCTTGTCTGTAGATATGAAGTCATGTATCAGCACAGCTTCATGACATGCGAGTTAAATGAAGTAGAAATCGCACCGTTTGTTGAGAGCAGGAAGTGGGCCGCGTTCTGACGCTTGCACCAGCGGATCTTGTTGATCTTCTCCTCGATCTCGAGCGACTTGAGATAGTCGAACTCTGGCTCGTGCGACTGGAACTCGGTGTAGAACTTGTACTCGCATCCCTTTTTCTGTAGTTTCCGCAGTATCCGGATTGGGCGATGTGGGAGCGACAGGCGGAATGGGGAAGGAAAGGGCACGGACGGACGAAGTAATGATTAGATCTCGAGGATTACGGGCAGAGGGTATGGAATACACGAACCTGCTCGTTGCGCTCGAACAAAACGACGCGTCCGCCCTTGTCGCCGGTTGCGAGGTAGTTGCCTGTGCTGTCGAACTCGACGGTGGAGATGATGTCGGCTGCATGCGTAATCAGCCCCGCACCGACGCGCACGACATGACAATAGCCGTTATATTTTAATAAACATACCTTCTGTGATATCCTCTACCTCGCCCTTGTCACCGAAGCACTGCGCGAAACGCCAGCCAGTCCCGTCCGTGTCCATGATCGTTCAAAGCAAGGTTCAGAAAGTCGTATTATAAACGTGAATTCCCAACGCAGTCCTTTCGTCCAAGCGCCGTCTCGTCAGCAAGATCAGATCCTATACGTATATCCTGTCCCTTCAGAGGCAGATAGTTTACTCGCTGGATATAATATTCCGCGAGAGTTTCCAGGGAGAAAGCGGTGCAGGAGAGTGCAGGTGGTGGGTGGCTGCCGCGCGCATTGTGCCCCGTGCGGGCGGCACGCGGCGTATTTGTCCGTGTTTATCGTCTGATCGGACCACGCGAGCCGGCGTTCCCGATTTCTTCCTGCCCGCCGCGCGCGCCTTTGCTGCACACAACGACCAGTACACCCGTCACCGCCATGGCCATCGCTCCCATCACCGGAAAGCTCAGGAAGCGCCTCTGGCTCGACGTCACCATGGCCCTTGGCCTCGGCACCAGCGCTGCGTACGCTTGGTGGTGCGTTATTTTATTCGGTCGTTTATGTTGAACCTATCGCTGACCTTGTGAGTGCAGGTACGGCTACCACATTCCTGCCCGTGAGCTTTACCCCTACCATCTTGTGTAATCTTCTGCCTAGTATACTGACTTTGATTTACAGAACGCCGCCAGGAGGAGTTCTACCTCAAGCTCGAACGCGAGAAGCAGGCGCAGGCGTAGAAGGGGTTCGCTGTGTATCATCCACTCGCATATCCATCCACCCACCGCGCAATGCAAGAATCCATTTAGACTGCTCACTCTCTCTTGCGTGCGCTCCATACAGAGGAGCTATGTCGTGTGTTCGTTGTGTGGCGGGCGGCCCGTGATGTTGATGCGCGCGCCTAGGCCGCGTCTGGCCGGGGTCGGCCGCCGTTGGGTTTGGGGTGCGGTGTCGCGCGTTGTAGTGGCGTCTACCGTCCCTACGCTAGCTCTTCAATCAAGACATACTTCTGCAATACTTGCTCACATGCAAGCGTGAACCTCCGGCCAATCATGTCGCAGCCGTTAGTGCCTTCAATCATAAGTCACTCCCGCCTGAACCGCGCCCGTCTTGCCGTGTTTTTATTACGCCCCTGCACCTCAACCTAGTGCTTGGGCGTTTGTCACCACGGCTACATCGTTCTCGCTTACGCCGGCTCATACTTACTCGCTCGCCGTCTTGAAGTCGGCGAGCGCGCTGGCGCTCTCGGACAGATCACACAGACTTGAGCATGAAACAGTAATATATCGACATGATGAAGAATGAATACATGTTCCTTTTGCAAGCTGTGCATTGGTCATATTGTACGAGCAATGCTATACATAAAAGGACTCTTGACGCAGCCGTTGCTGATCGTAAGGTTCATCGTGAACGCACACTATCGGCGTCTTGAGCTTGAACGCTAACATCTCGTCGAGGTACTTGCTCAGAAGCTGCTTCTACGCCATCAAGCGTGTACAAGAATGCACCCTGGATATCTGTCCGGTCGAGGGTGATGATCACGCTCTCGAGTGAACTATCCTGTGCGCGTTCTTTTGGTGAAGAGCTCTGAGCTCCGGTAGGATGTCCACCTTCGGGGCTCCGTCTATCAACGTCGTTGGGGAAGGTTTCTTCTTCACACATGTCAGTCATGGCTATGCGCTGCGATAGATTGCACCCGATACGTAACTCCGAGACAGTCGTCAGGTACCCAACGAGTGGGGTAGTCGGATCAAAAGCTGGACTAGGACGCCGCGGCATGCCTCTTAGGCGAGCCCACGCATACGAAGACCGTCTTCGCAAAGCGGGCTGATTACGCGAGACTGATAGCCATGGGAGTGGGCGCGAAGGAGCTCTGCGGTGGGGGAAACGTTGGATCGGGGAGATTGTGTTGAGCAGAGTTCTGCATGATAGGATCGGACCTAGACAGGAAATCAGGAAGTGGTGGGTCTTCTACTTCCCAGTCTACACAATTCTCTGCTAAAAACCTTGCCATATACAGACACCACGCCCCGAGCCTACTATTCTCAGCCCAGCGGAGTACTTCCTCTGGTGGGCGCCTGTCTCTGCTCCGTCGAATCTGCTCTTTGCGGCGAATCAAAGTATGCAACTTATTTCGTTCCAGGAAGAGCCTGAACTCCTTGGAAGGAGGGCGGCGCTGCAGATCACCGGTGAGTAGAGAAAGGGAGAAGAAGTGAGGGAGTAGGGACGGGACTTCGTGCTGAAGCTCCATCATAACATCACGATCGCTGAGCGCCTGGTATACCACACTGAAAATAGCGCAAGCGGCCTCATGACCCCAGTTACCACTATCGAGAAGTGTGTGCATGGATGTACAACATTCAGAGTCGTGAAGCTTTATGCGAGGCGCACCACCCCCGTACCACCACCTGACATCGTTTGGACCGCAACGCACATTATCCACTAAGATACCAGGGCCTCCTAAATACGCGGCTTGAAAGTCCATGAGCATGAGAAGACCCCCGGGGTGGAAGAACTCGGCATCCGAATTGAAACGCCGTTGACGCCTGAAGGCATCGTCTGCATCAATACCATACCCTATGAAAGTGCGAGGCACATCAATCTCTGGCAGCCTCGGGTGTCCATCAATATATGCGCCGCGATACAACTTGATCAGTTGCAAACGCACTCTGTAGAGACAGAGCGTAACTAGTAGCTGTAGCTTGGAATCAGCTTGATTGAGACGCTGCTGATGGACAATGCCTGAGATTCGATGTAGTATCTCGAGATATGTTTCAACGCATTTTCTCCGTGCATCCCCCCAGGACTCAGGAGTAGAACCTATGGGGAGTCCAGAGAACATCCTCTCCGAAAGCAGTGCCACGAGCGCGAAAATGGATGCATCAAGTCTATCATTCCTTTGGGTCTGAAGGAAAGCATTGATACGTTTCAGAAGATGGTGGTTGACACATAGAAGGCTAAATTCCGCAAGCGCATTTTGCATAATATCTTTCAGATCTGAGTCTTCACTGCCGCTGCGATATATGACGGCCGCCAAACCGCGAAACATGACGATGCCATCGATCTGAGAAGTGATATTCTCCATGACATGCTCGAAGCTGCGCGGTTCCATGATAAAGAAGTCAGGAGGTCCACTGTATTGCCTCGTAGTGAAGTCTCGCAGTGTCCTCTTCCGAACTCGTGACATCAAGGCCCCAAGCCCACGAGGAAACGATTTCCAGCGCTGGGACAGGACCAAGAGCAGACGAAAGCAGAGAAAGTACAGAAGAGCCAGCGGATATGTCAACGGCGTCCGATAAGGGCAACTCGGGTCGAGTATCGGCAACGCGCTCCCGAGCAAATACAACATAAAAAGGCAAGCGAGCACGACGGTTGCGATTCCTGCAACGATGTGATCAAGAGGATACAGGAAGGCGATCAATCCGATGGTAAAGAGACCAACAGAGAAATGGATGAGAGATATGATCAGGTACGCGACACTATCCATGCTGTACCGATTGATTCCCATACGGATGTAGATATGGTTTATGGCCCTATTTCGCAAAGCAGACTCGTTGAAGATCATCCGAAATCCACGAGCGATCGATTGAGGGGGTTTCAAACTGTCTGTAGTGCCCGGACGACCAATATCTCTTCTGTAATCACGAGCCCACTGCTGTATCAAGGTAGCCAATAGGGAACAGACGAGCGCAATCAGTAAGCTGGAGAACCACAAGGAATTGACGATGATAGCATTGGTAGGTGTTTCATAGGGCTGGAGGAACGGGACGTGTGAAGCTTCATTCGATGTGCTATTAGTCGTCACGGCAAGAAGCTGTAAGAGAAGGGTGACAGTCTGCTCGCCAGGGTCTGGGGCCAACGACTTGTAGCTTTCGATGATGAACGCAGCAACTGTCGCTGCGAATAGACCCGTCTATATATCATGTCCATCAGCGTCGGATCTGCAGATCATGACGAGCCTACGCACGAAGGTCAAGATACTGCCGGTATCCGCCTCCCAATCGTCCGGAAGCTGCTTATCCTCTTTAGCGGCATGAGCTAGGTACGTCTCCCAGAAGAGATCTTCGGCAGCTAATGTTGGATCTGGAGTTACAGAGCCCATGGATGGCAAGGCCATTACGGTGTACAGGAAGATGACTGCAAGAAGCACGCTCATTCAAGTTGCCGGCTGATCATGATGCTACACGAGGCACCTCCCACGCTCTTGTGCATCTGGATGACGACACTGGACTCTGGTCGTGCGGCACGCTTATGCCATCTTATGCCAGATAGTTTTGCTCTATTTCCCCCCATCAAGTATCAGTCGTGGGTGGGGGAGAGGCCCATAGGACATGTCAATGGGATGCCTCCCAGCCTCCATTCCGCTAGCGAAGGAGGCTGGCAAGAAGTTACTATGAGCCGCCGCGCTTGCAACTTCTCAGGCGCATACTTCGATGAACTCGCTTATAGCACATACTACCCAGCGCAACATCCAGGCGTCTCGTTCTTATCCTATCTACGCTTTACGACAAACAGTCCTTGTCAGCCGAGATTCGTGGGATCCACCGGACCGCGCGGCGCGGCAATCATCCTCGACGATTCCTCACGCCGAAGTCTGTCAGTGTCAACCCCCTCAACGTTCGTGACGTTCGTGGACTGGTTGTCAACGCGCTGCTCCCCTGTGACCGGTAGAACTAGCCTCTTCCTCGGCCGACTGCATATACAAGCTCTGCGCGATGATCGCCAGCTCCTCGGCAACGGGAGACGGCGGAAATTCGGCTTCGTCATTATCCAGCGGACCAAGAGGCTCAAGCAGACGTAGGCCGTCGTCCATCGCTCTACCCGGCCTGCTGGAGTCATGTATCTTGTCCCGGCAACGACGTAGTATATGCCATAGCGTGGGTCGGACAAACTCCGCGTACTCGCTCAGGCCGTAGTCTTGGAAAGAGTCGTGGTACCAGCGCACGTAGCCGTCTTGGTCGATGTACAGGACAGGGTAAAGCGCCTCGATGACAAGCTGTGCCAGCTCCTGCTCGACGTTCGCGATAAAGCTTACGAAGGGCAGGGTAATGCGCTCTCGCATGCACAGCACGACCAGTAGAACGCGGCGTCTGAGGATCATCTCGTCCTCGTCCAAACTACCGAATGCATCTCCGACAACAGTCGCGTAGAGGTCATCGAGGATCGTCCGATTGCCGCTGGTCGAGCGCGTTGGGGCAGCGGTGCGATTCGTAAGCTTCTTCAGCCGAGCGCACTGTTCGGCGTCTGTTCTGCGTAGTCGTGGGGTCTTGACCAGACCGAGTATCGTAGACGCATAGATGAAAAGGCCCTTGCTGTCCCGCACGACGTCGTCCAGGTAAGGTTGGCCGCGATGTTCGGGAAGCTCGTGGGACAGGTACTGTAAGATATCGCGTGATACTTCTTCGCTCGGTACGTCGTTCAAGCGGCGTATGCACCCTTTGTCGATGGCCCTACATGCATGCTCGATGTCAGGCGCCGGCCGGCTAGTGAAGAGGAAGCGAAGACCGGGCAACGGTCCTCGGCGGAGGGCATCCAAAGTGCGCTTCAGGAACTCCGCTCCCGCCTCGTTCTCGTCCAATGCGTCAATGACGATGATGACAGGAGGGAGATCACTCCGGAGGGGTGCGCTGCTTGACCACGAGCCAACGAGAAGCTTAGACATCTGCTCTTTGAGCTTTTGATCGCTCAGGCTGTGCTCGTCCCGTAGCACTCCCGCCAGCGCAGACGCGTATGACGCGAACGACTGCGCGAGTTCGAAAGCGATTGTCGATACGAGCAGCTTCTCCTTCTGACTATCGAGTTGACGAGAGCAAAAGTAAGAGATCACGGGGACGGTCGGTGCCGCACGGCTCAGGCGCTCGCATATGGTATAGGCGATAGCAGTCTTGCCTTGACCAGCGAGGCCGGAAAGCCAGAAGACTGGAGACGCGTCTTGACGTCGGTCCTGAGCCCAAGATAGAATGTCGTTGATGATGGCGGTACGTGTATGGGGTGCACAGCCCTTCCTCGTCCTTGTGAAGCGTCGGGAGGGAGAGCGGCAGCGTACCCGGAGCTCTCCGACCGGCGCAGGTTCTGCAAGATAACCTCCTGAGCGCATCGTCAGTAGTCAAACGAGGCGGTTAGTAAGTCGATGAGTGGACATGCCTTCCATATTGCCTGTACGTCTCTCTCGAGCGCTAACCCAATCTCGAGCTGAAACTCCAATCAGCACACGTGGGAAGAGATGCGCGTCTAACACCAGCCTGTAGCTCATCGAGCGCGTTGTAGATGGTACTGCAAGCCTTCTTCAGGGCCTGAGCGTCTTCCGCGTTATCCACAGCTCGCCGTATCCACCCATGTTGTGATCTTTCATGCAGAGACTCGAGCTCCGCACAGAGCGTCCTGTAATCATGCCCCACAGTAAGTCTCCGGTGCAAGACATCTGGATCTCACGACGTACGCGACGTAGGGCTTCGTTTCGAACGATGATACCCTTTGGGAATCTCCGTGAAGACGTCTCGCAAGGATGCCACACAGCCGATCGAGCCGTTCGGTCACTGCGTTTATGCCCGCTTTATTAGACTTCATCCTCTGCGATAGTAGCGTGAGACGTTGTAGCTTGACTATGAAGGCTTTCAACCTACTTTGTGAACCTCAATGAGTTGGATAAATCCCTCTATTACTAGCTTCAGCGGGGGGAAGACGTTAGCGGGACCTCCAAGGACCACGAGTAGGTCCTTGAACCCTTCCAGGCTCGCGCGCGCAGCGTTCTCTATTGCAGTAGCGAGGCCTACACGGGATTAGGACGGATCAGATTGTATTCCAAATGGGGTAGTGGGCGCATACGTACTGTCCGATCCCATCCCGGATGCAGTGTCTACCAGACACTCGCGCGTCAAGATAATGCCACCACTATGCAAGGGTTAAGATCAACATACTCGACGCGTCATCGAATGTGGCCGCTGGGTCCGGCAGTGACGGGTCAGGTTGTTGTGTGGGCGTCGGTGGTAGAGAACGGGCTGCAGGCGACGGTGCGATATCAGTTGTCTGCGAGGGAGTTGCCTGAGAGGGAGTCGTTTCTATAGGTTGATTTCATGAGTGGGCAAGCTGGAAACACGATTGCGGATGGCCAACCAAGAAGGTTCCTCCTCGACCGAGTGGCGGCCGCTGCTGTGTAACTATCTAACATTGGGCGCTCGTTCGCATCATTTTGCGGCTGCGGAGGTGTCGAGTATATCCGTTCTTGGAGAGCTATACAGCAGTCAGCAGCTGAGCCACAACATCATCTCAGTAACACGCACCATGCGTCGACCCTGGAAGTCGTTGCAAAGGGTGTCTACCCCCAGTCGTATCTGCATGGCCACCTTCCGCATCGTCCATAGACGGCGATGGATGGCCACCGCCACCGAATAGTTGTCTGAAACATTCCAAGAAGCACATGAGAGGTGGAGGATGAAGGCCAAATTCTGAGATGGACGACCACGCCAAAGCCTGCTTTGAAGTAGGTGTTATCTCCGCTTCTCCGCGCTGTGATGGTATCTGTCGCAAGGAGGTCAGATGAAAGAAGTACACGGGGGGCTACAGAACACGCCTTGGAGGCCTGACGCTAGAAGCACGGATGGCCAGCCACATTCTGCCCAGCTGCCAGCAAGCGTAGAATATAGATCCGCGCGCCATCTTTGCTGGAAAAGGGTAGTAAGTAGGTCCTGTACCATTCAAAAGTTCAAAGACTGGTACAGCAGAGGAGTGAAGCTGTTATACCAAATAAAAAAACCGCTCGAGGGGCACCTACAGGGTGGTGCATGGCCAGCTATACAAAGCATGGTATGCACGAGTCTGGACAGCCAGCAGACGAGCTCGGAGCAGTGTTTCCTCCTGTTTGGCGACTCCCATAGTCAATACGCCGCTCTACCGTGCTGCCATCTAACCCAGATGAAGGCACCTACACCGAAGCTCATCGATTCATCTTGCGACCTGGGACCCGGGGCGGGGCACCGAGGACGTGTACTGGGAAGCAACTGGGAAGCGTCCTGCCTTCTCGCACCGTATGCCGCGTGGCGCCCTCAATAGTGTGTGTTGGGCACTGGAATTGGTCCGATGAGATATGCAATTGGTCGAGAAACTAGTATTGACATGGGATAAGTATCCGGACGTGCAAGACCCAGGAAAGATGGATGGATGAGTCGACGGAATGGATTCAAAGGTCCGATTGGAGGGAAGCGCGATGGAAGGAGCTTAGAGGAGAAGATGTACGGCCCAATCAAAACGGCCACCCAACGAAATGAAAACAGGGGGTCGATCTGCATGGTCCAACATAGGTCGTCTGGCCGCGTAGTTTAACGCCCGGGCAGTGGGGATTCTGCGCTGGGAGTAGATAAATCACGGCGGAGAAGAGTAAGGCGGGTTCGAATGAGAAGCCTCAAAGAGCACAGGCGTAGATGCGTAGGATATAATGCGTATGTGTATTGGGTCAAAGACGACAAAGGTGGCGGTTGGCAGGAACCCGACAAAAAAAAGCGCGTTCAATTCGAGCGTCAATTGGCCGGTGTTCCCACGGTACGTGCGCGTGAGTTGATCCGCCTCGCGCCCGACGGTGTCTCAGCGCGCAAGTTCCCAAGTTCCCATCATCCTCGGGCCCATGACACCACCATCCACATTGTAACGCATAATATACTCTCTACCCAATGTCGCACAAGCATTCAGGCAAGCTTGCGATTGAGTACTCTCTTCCACCAAATGTGGAGTTCCTGCACTTCCCGCGCTCGGACGGCGATTCATCGCAATGGCCGCTCAACCAGGAGGAGGAAGAGGACGAGGATGGAAATGTGAACTTTTATATGCCGCTGGCGGATGATAAGGGTACATCGCTCAAGTGGCTGCATGGGGTCGGTCAGAAAGTTGCAGAGGAGATGGGGCTGCCGAGTAAGTTCTTGCGCGGTCCACACCTGTGGCGAATGACTGACACTGTTCCGTCAAAGGCAACAAGAAGTACGCGTTTGCTAGCTGGCCCGACGGCTACAGATTCTTCGACCACCACAAAGGCGCGAAAGCCTCGCCTAGACATGACGCCTACGTTATCGGTACATCTTTTCCAACACACTGTATGACATCTACTACAATATATTCACAGGTTGTACGACCGTCAGCCGCTTTCGGTCAGTACCCGAGATTGTCCCTCATGCCCTATGGCTTATGACGGATGCATCAATGGACCGAGCCAACTGTCACTGCAAATACTGTTCCAAACGCAAACAATCCGCCGTCTCGCAGCAGTACGGGTTTCCCTCCTCCCAAGGCCGGCTCGGCTCAGTCGTACCCTCATCCTCGCCCTCGAAGCGCCAACGCCGAAATCAACAGCCATATGCGGTCGTGCAGCGCACCAAGGCGCTTAAGGCGCAGTCGGACCAGGCTCAGGCGGCTAAGCGCCGGAAACGGGAGAAGGCGCAGGAGAACCAGCGAACAGCGGCGCTCGATCCGCCACGCGAGACGGTGCCGAACGAGCGCACGTCCGATCTGCGCGCCGCGGCAATGCGTCTCGGTCCCGAGCGTAGTACCCGGCGGTACCACCGGCAGGGCGAGCTCGTGTGGTGCTCGCTCGGCACCCCCATTCGCGCCGGACCGCCCGGCGACGACGTAGCCAGAATCGAGCTGTGGCCCGCCATCATCCAGGAATGGAGAACCGCGACGACGCAGATTCCTCGCGTGGACTACGAGCCGCCGCCACCCGGCCCGATAGACGCTGAAGAACAAGCTCGATTAGACGCTGGTCGGCCGCGCGTGCCGGCGGGTCACTTCTATGCTGGCGAAAACGCGTCTGGGGTGGAGTTCGTGCTTGTACATCGGACGGAGTACAAAGCGCAATTGCTTGCGATCAACGCCAATATCTTGGTACTCGACGATTGTGTACTGCCATACTCCGCTTGGGCACCGTCTCAGAATCTGCTCGCCGTACTCCGCGACATACCCAAACACACGTTCCAGTACTCCCGCCAATTCTGCCCTCCGGAGACTATTCCACCCACTGCGACGGAGCAACAGATTCAGGAGCTCTTCACGCGCGCCGCAGCGCCGTACTCTGTGGCACTAGAAGCAGCTGCCGAGTTGGCCGCAACCTGGGCCGTAACGGACGAGTGGTCGGCCGACGTCTTGAACGCAGATGGCGAAGAAGAGCAGGAGACGCAGTACCAGGGTCTATGGTGGGGACCTGAGCGTATATGGGTCGGCGATCTCGTACAGCTCAAGATGCCACGAAAGCAACTTCACTCTCCATTACTGCGCGAGCCGTTCCAGCCCGACGATCACCCTGGTGAGGTATGTGTATATGTTCTCATCCCGACTCTGAGTCCTTGATTTACTTACATATTATGGCTGGTATCGTACAGGACGCTGGCGATCGCGGCGTTTTCATGCACCTTCACTCGCTCAAACACGTCGAGACAATCTTACCGGACAACGTCGTTCGTAACGGGATCATCGCTTCGGGCGAGCTGTACGAGGTCGCGGAAGACCCTCTGTACCTGGCTATGCAGATTCCGCAGGAGAAGGACGAAGTGCGGACGGACGAGGTGCGGGCGAAGATCCTAGACGCCGTGCATAAAGCACAAGAGAGGGAAGTAGAAGAGGCCGCGAGAGGTGTTGAGGGTTTGCATGTCAATGGAGCTAGCAGCGGACCTGGCACGCCGAGTGTGAAGGGCAAGGAGAGGGAAGATGCTACCATGAGACCCGCAAGCGACGTCGCACCCGCTCCCGCCCCAGCACCCACCGCGAACATTACCCTCCCAAATCCCGACCCAACGGTTCCTATCGACCAAACTGTCGCCGCAATGCGCGAAACCCTCGGCGACATCCCACCCTCCTCCACCAGCACCCCCGTAAACGGCACCGCCGCGTCCCCACTCCCGCGAACCGACATCGGCGGCCTCTCCGGTCCAACGCACGTCGAAGAGCTCCTCCCGCCCGCGCCACCAACGTTCGCGTTCCGACCTCTAATCAAAGAAGCCAACCACGAAGCGTCCGTATCACTCGATCTCCTCGGCGGACGTTATTACCCCGGCATCATCCAACATTCCCTCTTAGCGCCCGTCCGACAGCTCATATTCGAGAGCGCGATGTATAGACCGGACGAAGCGCCTACTATGGAGTGCGAGGCCGTGTTGGCGCTCGAGGGCATCGCGCCGGGTGTGGGGTGCGCGATGAGTCCCACGAGGATGATCATCGGGAGGAAGGCGGCGATCGTGGAGGCTGAGGCTAAGGCGGTCAAGTTGTTGCAGACTGATTGGGCACGGAAGGGCGATGAAAATGGGGATGCAAACGGGGATGGGGACGGGATGGAGGGCGTGCAGGGCGTCAATGGGAGTGTGGGCCCGGAGGAGATGAAGAGAGAGGGGACGTGGACGGATAATACGACGCCTGAGGCGAGGGATCAGGCTGCCAGGGAGGGGCTCGAGGCGTTTTTCGGCGACGGAAACGCCATGGATGTCGATGGTTACATGTAGTGATCTACCTCTTGACGCTGTTTTTTGTTATGCTCGCTTGCTTAGGTGTATTGTACAACAGCATTGCGATACCGAGGACATCATGTCTCATCGCTTCACGGCCAACAGTACGGCCCGTGAGTATCAAACCCATTGGAATCAGGAGGACACTCTTCAAGGCCTGAGCTGCACGCGAGCGTATGCAGTGCATGTGAAGAACAGGTGTGTCCCAAAAAAATTACAGAAACGCGTATAAGGTCCTGCCAGGACTCGAACCTGGGTTAGCGGAAATTAAGAGTGCCTCCGCTTGTTGCCAAGCGAAAGCGGCAAAGTGCCTCAGAATCCGCTGTGATAACCACTACACTACAGGACCATGTGAATGGTGTTCTGAATGACTACTATAGCTAGCCTTTATAGGGAATGAACGCGATCACGCGCGTAACGCGGCCAGTGTGGTCGATCTACGCGCCCACTTGACTCTTGACCGCCACTACAACGACCCAGGCGGCCCACATGTTACGATGCCGCACGCTATCCCAGCCACTTCTTTAGTGTATCACGATGCCACTTGGGGCAAGCAAGACTGGAGCGCTTGGAATTCTGCCACCGCTCACACAACATCCTTTCATCGCGCACAAGAGCTCACCGAAGAGCTCAACCGCGAAACGTTTCCGTTCGGCTTGTTCGCACGAGCGAACGACATCATCTCTCACTGTGCTTTCTCGGGTCATCAGCTTCCATCGTCTCTCACCGGTGGCGCAGAGATCAATATCCGACCTGTGTGGCCTCCCCACGCGACGAAACAGCGGCCAATCGCATCTCCTGAAGAGACTGCGAGAATCCATGGAAAAATCGCTGATATTATGGCTGGATGTATAGAACTGACTCGCGCAAACGCTGTCAAGGTTGCGGAGAGCGTGCTCGAGCTACCGGCGCTTGTTGAGGATGGCTTGCAGGATAGACAGTCGTTGTGGAAGGATATACTTGTGCAGTGCGTAATCCGATATCGAAGCTCTCCTAGGTCGCATTCTGACGCTCTCTTGCTAGCCTTGTTCTTCGCTTTGCTATATTTCAATCGAAAATGGGCATGACCCGCCAATCGGTTGCTCCTCTATTGAATATTGGCTCTATCCATATGACATACAGTTTGATCTCCGCGCGAGAAATCGTGCAAGGCTCGTTCATGATGGAAACGTGCAGCTCTATATCGACGAACATTGCTGACATTGATGACGATTTCTGTATCGAAACTGACCACGTCTCTCTGGGCGTCCCTGGTTCACACATCATAATTGGGCCGCTACGTCTTGCCCAGCATAGCTGCCGCCCTAATGCTAAGGTCAAGTTCTCCACCGTATAGTCCTCGATAGCATAAGCTGATGGTGATACCCCTTACAGCTCTTTGCCGTTCCTAATAGCTATGCGTACGTTCTGCGTGCCCTTGTCGACATTCCGCGTAGAACGGCTATAACCGTCAACAAAAGCCTGCCACCCTTCATCTCTGATACTTTAGGTTCTACTTGCTGGTGTCCAAGTTGCACCATGATGCAGACCGACGACTCCCGGGATAATCTGATACGGTCCTCCGTTTTGCATCCAGCATCCAAAGAACGATCCGCCAAGACAGCCCGCATGAAGAACGTTCGCCGTAGGCAGGAGAAGCGGCGAGCGAGGGGGCTTCAACAGACGCAGACGCACGGGGAGCCTCGCAACAAACCTGGGCGACCCAAGAAACAACGGGAAAAGAAGAGAAAGGACGACATCGACGTTGGCGGTTCGGATCAAAGCGTCTTTGGCCTGGATACCGGCGAATCGAGCTCTGACGGCGCATTGGCCGCCGCTCTCATGGACGCGTATGAAAGTCTTGAGGAAGGAGAGATCTCTTCATAGATGCTACACGTAGATCAATACTTTCATTAAGACGACCCGTTAACTTGGACAATGAACATGTGCTGGCGGAGAATGAAGAGTCTGAGACATGCAATGAGGGTCCGGCATCGTGAACCAACCCCTAAGGTGCAACTCTGCTCTAACCGTCATCACTAGCCCTTCCCCTCCAGTCGCACGAATGTCTGCCGCACGTTTAGCGGGGGAACCCTTCAATAGCGAAGATGCCGACTTCGTCATTCGTTCGAGCGATATGGTAGACTTCAAGGTGCACAAAGTGCTGTTGAAGCAGTTTTTCCAGAGCTTCGATGAGATGCTTGTAGGTGCTTCCTCCGCATGACATAGTACTTCAGAGTTGATGCTTCAAGACAGGGTGCGCCTATGGTAGGCGGAGTAGATGCTCAAAACGCGATCTATGGGTTGCCGTTGATGGACTCGACCGAATCGTCCGAGGCTCTGGGCCACCTCCTCCGCCTACTCTACCCCGTCCCATACCCGGACCTCAGCGCAGACTGGCCCGCTCTCCTCTCCGTTCTCACTCTTATGGACAAGTATATTGCCAAGTTCTACCCTCTGTCGATCTCCAGCGCCCTGCTCCGGGCAGCAAAGTTACCGGATGGGCCAGGGCTTGGTGCCGTCTTTGTGCTGGCTAGCCGTCATCCGTCTTTGAATGAGGTTCTCGAGGAGGTGGCGAGGCTATCGCTGCGAGAAGTGACGCGCTTGGATGATGTCCCAAAGGACCTCCTCAGGGGCATGTCCGCGACGCAGTATCATGCGCTTATTGACTACCAGAACCGTTGTCACCAAACCGCGGTGGACGCCGCGACGGCTGAGAATCTCGTAGAATGGATCCCTACGGCCGAATTTCCTGGTGGACTCTCTGGCAGTGGTTGCTCTTGTCTCAAGGTCGCTGAGTTGCGCGGCTTCGATTGGGACGTAGGGGGCGACGACGAGCCGGTCTTGTATAAAGTCGATTGGCCCGGCGACCTCGTGCTCTGGATGTCCGACTACCTTGACGCCGTGAAACGCGCTCTTAAGACTAATATATCCGGGCGCGCGGCTTCAAACTCTGCTACCGTGAAGTGTGCCATCACGGAGGCCATGAAATGTAGCACATGCTCGAAGACGCAGATCGTCCTGATGATAGGCTTTGTGGACAAGCTCGCTACGCACCTAGACGAGAAGATCAATGCAGTACGTACTCAACCTCTACCAACGAGGCTCATATTAACGTGCATCAGGTTCCTTTCCACCTTGCCTAGCGCAACAAGTACTACCCAGCGGAGACACACGCTGTGAATACACCAGTTTGATCCGAGCCGCGTCCCTTCACAATCATTCGAACGAGCCAATTGCCCCGATCTCCTGAAGGTTGGGAGGGTTGAAAAAGGCGCATCGGTGCATTGGAACCGTAGTGGTAGTAGATGATGAGTAACATGAGGGTGACTGTATAGTACTGCATATCGTCATGCTTGTTGAAGTCAAGGAGTTCGCGATCAGAGCCGCGCTGATGGGCGCGCTCACAGGCTGTCGGAGAACAATCAGAGAATTCCGAGGCGCTCGTACCCCGAGTTGACCTCGAACCACCATCAACCTCTTCAACAGGCCCGTATCGCAAGTCAGAGTCACCTCTGATTGGACCACCGCCGTTCTCGGTCATAAGGTGCCCAGACAAACCCCGTGCTAGCCATAGGCTGCCTGCGCATGACTAGCTGCTCCCATCCCGTCTCACACCCCGGTCATATGAGACAGTCTTCTGAGCTTCTGGGCGTCACCGTCGATGATGCTGTACAGCTATATAGCAGAGCTACGCGGCACCTGCGACGTGCATTCCGACCATAACGATGTCAACCTCCTGCGAAAGCGATGCGCCTTGGGCGCTCTCAAACGCCGATCTCTTGCTCCGTTCCTGCGATGGACAGTACTTCCCGGTTGACAGACTGGTCCTCGCGAGGCACTTTCAGGCGTTTGAAGACATGTTCGTGCGTATAGGAGTAGTTATCTCCTGCGCGCGCTGCTGATGTCCCTGGACTAGGAGTCTGGCTCTGAGATCGGCACTGGCGAGGAGCAGGAGACGAGAGACGGTCGTATCGTTGTCGACCTTGCGGAACACTCGGTTGTTCTGAGAAATCTACTTCATCTGATATACTGCATGGGAACCCCAACCGCGGATTTGAACAGCGTCGCCCTCTTTGATCTGAGTGTCGTGTTGGACAAGTACTGCGTCAAGTCATATCCTCGCGTCGTCCTCGACAGGCTTCTGAACCTCGCCGACGAGGAGCCTGAACTCTCCTACATTCGCGCCTGCCGTCTTAGATTGGACGAAATGGCACGCAGAGCCGCATCAGCCAGTCTACGAGTTTCAAGGCTGTTCGCAAAGATACCAATCTTGGAGCTCAACATCACTGCTCAGCAGTACCACGTCTTGACTTCATATCGAGCGGATTGCCATCAGGCGGCCGTTAGCGCTGTAAAGGATCTCGAGTGGATGGCTCAACTCCTACCAGCACCACCAGGACTCGACTATGACCGTCGTTGTGACACGTGTTACAAGGCCGGTCCGCGCGCATGGATTAGTCCGGTACGCATCTACACTCCCGGTATCACCGTGTTTCTCAACGCCTGATTGTGTTACAGAACCCCGCGCCAGATCTGAATCTGAGCCCTGCAAGTCGCAAAGTCTTGCTCAAACCCAGGCCACTGTACGTCTCCGCTTGGCTCAGTCGATACTTGGAACTCGTGGAAGCGGCTTTGGCGAGGGACACGAGGGGTGCCGTTGCCAGAGATCAACAACACATCAACGCTATCTTCAGCGCAGAGAGTTCAGTCTGTTGCAATGCTTGCAGAACAGCCGCGCACGCCCTTTCCATGGTCGACTTTGCGGGGGGACTGGCGCAGGAGGTTGAGAGCAGGGTCTCGACGGTGAGTTTGTTGGTGCATCCACGTCGTATGTTGGTGTTGTCCTTACAGCTACGCAGGTGCAGTTCTGCGCAATACTCTGACTGCCTGGTTTCTCGGTGCAGAGATGATTGCAAGATGTTGTGACTGATGTACAATAATGTTGCTGCTTGTATACTACCAGTCCGTACATACAATTCCCCAACGACGATCTGAACACAATCCCAGACCTAACAATATATACAGCGAAGATAGACGTCGAAACATAAGAGACAAGATGGTGCGAGTAAATAGCAATAAATCGGAGCAATGTACAAAACATATACAGGGGGAAGTTACCCGACAGCAAAGCCTATACTACAATAGTACAGGCATGAAAGCATGGTATGTGTAGCACAATACTAAGATGGTGGATATGGTCATGGGGAGGGTTTCGCAGTATACCAAACACGCTACAACAGGTAAAAATCATGACTCGTCGTCAGTGCAGAGAACAGCTACGGCGACGTCCTCTACTCCTTCGGGGAAGAGCGTAACCACGTCGGAAGGTCAATGAACATCTCGACTGCTGTATGGGAAGAGCGCGACATGGCGTTGGCCACGACCTCGCTAGCCGATGCTACGGACGCCGCCTCGGCGATGGGCTTCGCAGCGGCGGGTAGCAAAGTCGGAGGGACTCCGTAATAGGGGTGTTCGAGAAGGAGAGGGTCGATGGCGACATTCTCCTCGATGGATGGGGAGCCAGGGACAGGTGTGGTGGCGGCGGCTTGTGGAGAGAGAAGGGGGGCATTGCCGCCGGTAGGCAATGCAGCAGCAGCAGCAAGAGAGGTGGATGTAGTGTTGTCGATAGTTGGACTCTCTCCTCGGCGCCGATTGCGCCTGTCAGGCTGGGCGTCTTCCTCCGAGTCTTCGATATGAGAAGCTTTGCGCTTGCGTCCATTGCCGGGCATGTTGGGCGCGAGAGCGGGCGCAGCGGGCGTGGCAAGAAGCGACGGTCCTGCGATAGGCATAGCAGAAGGGCTGGGCTCGATAGGCGTCTTAGCAACCACAAGATCATAAGGAGTTGGCGTGAAGTGAGGGTCGCGCTCGCTGATGATAGTCTCCATCTCTGCCCAGACAAGCGGGGCAATCGGCAGCAGGTCTCGCTTGCCGAGCAACGTCGGGAGTGCACCGCCGTGTGCGCTCTTCGCAAGGCACTGAGTCCATTCGCCGATGGTATCTGCACGACCAGGAGGCAAAAAGATGGGGAGGAAGGTATCCACATGCGCATCGCAGAGGTCCAAATTGCTGGGAATACTAGTCTCGGCAATGTCTTTGTAGCAGAGCCTCTTTACGTGAGATACCACTGAAGCGCAACGATTGCCCCTGAGAACAATCAGCGGGAGGTAAACCACCGTATTGAAAGCGACGTACACTTTGCCACTGTCCAGACAAACGTAGCCCGGCACCCACCGACACCCAAGTAATCCGATGGCCAGCTGTCCGTCCTTGCTTTGGGCCGTCCTTCTGACCTTGCCGCCTATAGGTTTACCCATATCGTCCAAGGTATACGTCTCGAAGTATTGATCACGGACACTTTCCTCGAGGTATATCTGAACGGCAAACAGACGTGAATACATAGAAGTACGACGTTGAAATGAATTACTGACATAGATCGGTGGGAAGGAATCGATTACTTCCCTTCCCGCCGTAAACCTGGTCGCAACGATCCACGAACGTACGCCGGAGGCAGCGAGAACCACATTAGGCTGTTTGAGAACAGTGTCACGGATCTTGTTGAATATTCGCTCTTCGCCTGGGTTGAGAAACTGTGGCGCCATGACGGAAGGCGTGGCCGCAGGAAAAAGGACGAGAGCAGAGGTTGTTGGGAGTGCGAGCTCTGCGAGACGCGCCTGAAGTATCGCCGCGGGATCGACAAATTCCCACCGTTCAACCAACCAACCCCGCGGGTCACGCGCCGACTCGCGCCGAGTAGACATAGCAAGCCGGCAACAGCCGTGTGCATGAGCTTGTCTTGTCAGTGCTGCCGAGAGGACGAGTAATCGTGGATTGTAGCGCCGAAGAGGGAAACAATAGCGCCGGCGAAGATAGCCCCTGGATGTGGACTCGGGCGTATATCCATTGTGTCGTGGCACAGTTGAATAGAACTGTAGAGTCCACAAGTGCCGTATACACGAGGAGAGAATAGGGCGACCGGTGCCGCCGCACCACCGTATCTTGCGCTCGACCTCCACATCCTGTCTAGCTTTCCCGTCGGTAGCAGCTAGCGCACCAACCCTTCCTCCGTAAAACGACAAGCGCCGATGCTGCCGCACGCCATGTATACGCTAGGCTGTACCCGTGCCATCGTAAGCGCTCTTGCGCCGGATCCTCAACAAGACCGCGACGCTCATCAGCCCCCACCGGTCGACTGGAGCACTTTGACCAGAAACGTGCATGCGCATACGGCAGCGTATCATCGCGATTGGTGCGCTCTTCTGCCCTTCATGCCATGGCATATTGTGTCATTCTTCAACGAGTACGAGAGATACTCGTGTCGAGTATGCGCTGTGACCGGAGGAACACCATAGGACGCATTCGCCGACGCTGTCCATCTCCGTGACCATGCCACTCCCAGCTTCGACCCCTTCTTGGGTCGTATGGCCCACTGAGAGGACGGTGCTCGCCTATGTGGTCGAGGATAGCGGCCGCACACGGTTTCAATACAGTGCAGCGTCGTCGGCCGACGAATCTCATGCCACCGTCGCCACCGGCATTGTTTACGCAGCCTCCTCAGCTCCATCGTCGAGCCTGCCCACGCCGTCCATTGACTTCCACGGCGCGTCATCTTCGCGTATTGAGCTTTCGCCCGAAATCGTGCACGCATAGGAATGCCCCCAGACGCCCCGCCGGGTACCGCAAACTTGGCATCATACGCCCGCCTTTTCACGCGCAGTTGGTGCAGGCATTGTGCCATCTGTGCGGATGCAAGTGGGATGCATGAGGGAGGGGATACAAATGTGACTGAATGCGGCGTGTTCTCGTCCGCGGATGCGAGTATGCGTCGTTTCGACGATACGGGTGGCGACCGCATGATGACAGTATTTGGCTTTGCGTTCCCTCCGTATTCAAGCCACTGCCCATGACCCCTTCGATACAGGCTCGTTGAGAGGACCATCCGCGTCGGCATGAACGACGCCGGCGATCACCCGCGGATTGGTATTGTGTAGCGTTGTCGGCCTTCGGACCTCATGCCACCGTTGCCGACGGTCCATTGTCCGCTCTACCTCCTCCCCATCTCTCTCCTCGACTCCGCCTATGCCGTCCATATGCACTTGGCTTGCGCATTCACGCCCTCTGCGGCCACTGCTTATTGAGGACGAAATAGATGCCCCGAGGTGTTCTTTCGAGCACTACATGCTCGGCATCATACGCCCGCCTGATACCTATCCACCTGAAGTTGGTTCGGGTATCTCAACGTCTGCGTGGAAGCAAACGCGAAGCATGCGAGGAGGGGATGCGATGTAGTTGAATGCGGCATATTTCCATCGGCAGCATGCACCGGTCGTATTGGAGCCTCGCGCAGAGATACAGCAGGATCCTCGTCGTCGAGCTTCCCGTTGCTGCAGACATTGAACCGGCCCGGTGCTGCATAGCGACTTTGGAAGGGGAAGGAGCACACTGCCCAGCATAGACGCGGCCGTACGGGTCTCTCAGCACCTGCCGAGTGTAGGAGCATAGCTTCGCCGTCGTGATGCGCTAGTGACTTAATATGGGCGTTCCAATAACCGATTGAACGGTCGAGATCTGCGCCTTGGACTATGGCAACAGCTGGTTACGCCGTCCGCGTCCAGCAGAGAGCACGACCAACGGATTCGTCCAGCGTAAAGTGCGCCCATCCGCGGATCCAAAGTCGGTTTCGACCTCTCGGCGCATCTAGGTGCGTATGAAGTCGCTCATAGCTGAGCAAACTCGAACTGAAGGTACACGGCCGTCTCGACGCCGTAGGAGGCATCTTGGGTGTTCGAACCGTCCTCGTTGTTGTCAAGTTCGTGTTCAGACCTGTGGCGTACAAGGATAGGTCAGCACACAACTCGCGAGCAAATCGGTACCCGAAACTAATGAACAAGAGATACAGGGTATGTAGCGCTGGTGGCCAGTAGGGTGCACTACAGTCACCCCCTCCAACGCCGCACGTGCGTCCGCAGGATGAGGGCCACTGAATGATCACTGCCAGCGTCAAATTTCAGACCCCGCGATATCGACAGCGCTCATCGAGTACTCGTTCTGAGTACAGGAGTTGCCATATGAGGTATAGACCCTGCTCGTCCACTCCAAGCGCCTGAACGCGCATTAAACTCCAACCAAGACACCCTCAGACGCTCGTCCGCGCCGTCTCATGGTCAACATCTGTCCCATTTCCAGCCTTATTCCATCCGAAAAGCGTACGATCGTCCAATCCTCCGTGTACACTCACATCCGCGCCCATAGCCACCCACCAGTTACAACTCCGACACCTGTCCACCGTATCCTCCATCGCTTGGACCAACCATATCGGAATGGCCCCTCCTCTTTGCTCTCGCATTATGGCTATGCGCACCATCGTTGCTTCAAGAACAATCCATGTGTCGACGCTCGTATACACCAAGATGAAGATGGAAACTCGCGCCGACGCGATGCGCCCTGTTGGCAGCCGATGGGCGCATATACACAAGAATGCAGATATACGGCAGTTGGCGAGATATCCAGCTAGCCTCCCCTTCGATAGCGTCAAGAGAGTACAAAGCAAGGAGGTGAGCAAGATGAGCGCTGTGGTGGTCGGGGGCAAAGAGGTGTGTCTCACCTCGTGCGCGCTTGGGAGATTGCCATTGTCTTCGCGACGAGCTCATCAGGCGCGAGCACCCGCTTTCGAACTCCGAGTCTTGCTCGGAAAAGTGAGTGCCTCGAACTCTCGAGCTCTCAAGCGCTGGTCCTGGGAAGGAGTCTAGCGCGTCTCGCCCGATGCGGTCTTCCCCTTGTTCAGCTCGTCCACAGCGGTACACCCTGGTACACCTTCCACATTCGCCCCGTTCGATATGATAAGGACTACCGGCCGCTCGCTTATCACGCATCATGCATCATCACTGGCAACGAAGGGTACGACTACCAGTATGGCGCATATTATTATTTACAACCGTTTCGGCACGGTTAACCGCTCTGTGCTTTTCGCGGCAAGTTGAACAACGCGAATATGGTGCTATGATCAGCTGTGGGTGGCCACACAGGCTCATATATGGTAATGATATTATAGCATGCCATGAGAGACTACGAGCAATATGCGGTCATGTACAAGTACTGGGAATCGAACGGCCGAGGACTCGTCATGTCCGACTAGAACTTTGTGCGCCGGTTCGCACACACGCGCGTGCCGTCTTGGGGCAAACCTGTCAGTGCGCTGACAAGAGCTCCTTTCCATCAAAGTTCACGCAATCATATATGTCAGACATAAATATAGATTGGAAAGGAAAGGAAACCGGGGAAAAAGATGTTGCCATCATGGTGGTTGAAACTCGCCTCGAGGCCGCGCCGCCAACCAGACCGATTTTGATCCGCGTGTTCTGCGCTCCGCGCCGATGCCGCTCGGCGCGCGCACGATCACCGAGAAAACGGTCCAAGTACATTGAACCACTCGTTGCGCAACACCGAGTTCCTATATGCGCCCCTCGAAGTATCGAGATCGACAGAGCACTAATATCGCATGCGTGAGCCAGAGATAACGCGAAGGAAGTACAACAGCAGATAGTGATAAATCGAAGCAAAATGGACAACATATTTACAGCAGAAAGATATGCGAAAAGAAAGATGCGTATAGTAGTGGTGGTACGGACGAGACAGTGATGTTCGAAGAACGTGAAATGGTGATGATACGCGGGATGGTGATGGTACGAGAGTGATGATGACACCAACAAATCTGACCAGCGTATGCTGAGAGCGATGCGTAAACTAGTGGTGGAACGGACGAGGCAGTGATGTAGATAGAACGTAGAATTGTGATGATGTGAGGAATAGTGGCGATACAAGACTGATGATGGTGCCAGCAAGTCTGACAAGCTGAGAGAGATGCGTATAGTAGCGGTGGTACGGACGAGATAGCGATGCAGGTAGGCTGTGATGCGGTGATGGTACGAAAGTGATGATGGTGTGGAATGTGATGGTATGAAAATGATGACGAGCGTAGATGGTGGTGAACAAGAGGCATACAGGCGATATAACAACAATAATAGTCCAAACCTAGAATAGTATGGCACAGTCGTACGGTAAACAAGGATGGAAGAGCTGAGAGACAAGAGCAAGTACAAAACAACTCAAGCGAAGTAGAGGTGATTGGGTGCGACGGAGACATCCTGTCTTCGACACGTGCGCACCCCCGAAATATGGCACGAAATGTGGTAAACGCGTGGCGAGCCCTGTGCACTGACAGGGATATCTAACCATAGATGGCCTCAAGCCAAAGCGGCGACGCCCGCCTCCACCTGAGCATCGATGTCGTTGGAGAGACCATGGCTCTGCGGGGTTCCTGTCCAGTTGACAGAGGACAGGTAGTCAGCGATATCGCGTAGCGTCTCAGGTGTTAGGTCCTTAGGAATAGGGCGCTTGATGAATTCGTCGACGGTCATGCCGAACTCCGTCTCGAAGTCAGGAATCTGGACCGGGTTGGTCACAGACTGCGAAGGGGCCGCGATCGAGTTCTCCGAGTCGTAGCTCGAGTGTGCGTGCTGTTCGTTGATGAAAACGGCGGACGATCCCTCCGCGACATCGTACGAGCCCGAAAGCATGAAGGCGCCAGTGGGCGCGTTGTCCT